GCCTGTGCCACATGCTGCTGCATAGATGGAGTGAAGCTCCTCTAGGCTGGCGAATGGTGAATGTGGTTATCATAGTTGCTTTGGGAGAGAATTGAAGAAGATATTCCCCATTAGAGAACACCAAAAATTCTATCTGAACCATCAGGGCCATCACTTTCAAATATAAGGACAGACCACAGTGACAGTATCCAGTTACACATCAGAAACAGTGTGGAAATTCAGCTCTCAAAGCACACTACTGTGTATATGGCAAGGTGAGACAGCAGGTCTACTAAGTTTCTTGATGCCCTCATCTCAAAAGATGTCTTTGTCCACCCCCTTCCCCAGTTCAGTAAAATAAAAATGAAAAGTCAACATGGAGCTCAATAGGGAACTTGGTCCAGAAGAGACTGGGAGGATTAAAAGCAAGTGATCAAGAGCAGGCATACTCATTAAGCATTACTCCAGCTATTCTGCCTTTGATGTTTCATGCTTAAGATCAGACTTCTGCATTATTAATCAAAAAGAAATCTTAATAAAGTGCTTAGGCTCTGCTATAAGTTTTTTGTTTTTTTTCTCCCCTCCTTCCAGTCTTCTACTATACAAAGCACATTTTTGACAAATCTCACATACTCAGTTTATGAACGAACACCAGTCTTTAAAAAAACAAACACCAAAACTGATGGTCCTTTCAAGCATGTAACTGAGGATCTGAATCTGCTCCTTGGCGACCATATCAATGAAATGGTCAGTAAAGGCCTGGGTACAGAAAAGCCCTCCTGCTACCTAGAACTCAATTCCAGACACCCTGAAGAGCTAGAGCACAAAGACACTTAGTAAACAGGTTTCATAACTTTATGAAAAGTCACATTAGCTTAAACACATTGGAAAACACAAGTTGAGAATGCAAGATTGCAAATAATTTCTCAAGATTCAAGACAACACCTACACAACAAAAGGCTGCTAAAACAGAAGTTCTTTAAATTCACTCACCTCGGAGATCTCTTTCAGCTAGTACAACACCTTGTCATGGTGATAAATGCATCGCATCTTAACAAACACAGTTGAACAGGTAATGAATACAGCTAGCTGTACCTTCCCATCTTGAAGATTTGGCATCAATGACATCTTTCATGGATGACGTCTTTCTTCAGCTCTGTAGACACAGGTACAGTTTAGGTACAGTTGTCATAATAAATGAGTATGGTTAAAGACATACAGGAAAAACTACAGAAAGCACATTACATTATATTCAGGTTTACGTGATTCAAGTATTTTCATTCCTCACCACCCATCAGGAGGGCAGATAAGATACTCCATATATACTATGAGACTGACTTATGAGTCTACCACGCTGCCTTGGGCCATTAAGGGTGAATTTCATTCCATCTAATTTTAATGACCTAAAAATAAGGTGCCTAACTACATCTTGCCATCCAAGTTCTCTCTACAGCAAAAAGGAAAGTTGGTACATCTGAAGGATGATTCACTAAATCCATCTTAGACCCTTTTTTTAGGGTGGGATGAGTCATTCCCTGGAAGCATCTCTCTTTATTTGGTGATGGATGGAGCCTGGACAACTGAGTTAATTCAGATATCTATTTTTTTAAACAGCTGAAGTCAGCTGACACGATCAAAGCCTCAGTCAAAAGTCTGCACAGAAAGCAGACCTGAGGGGATGACAGTTTGTCAGGTACAATTTCTAAAGAGGTTAGATGTCTTCATCACACTGAGAGGGGATTTTTCCCCAAAATCACCATCTGCATAGCAGCTGTTACCTCATTTTAATTATTCATGGATAGCCACTTGCACTGGGGAGAGAGATGATGATGTGGGCAGAGATAAAAGTAAAGATGATTGTTTTTGAATGTTATTTGTCTGACTTCATGGACTGCATACTTGCAAGGCCATCTGAGGAGAATCAAGTTATTTAACTTGTGACTAACAGTTCACATTAAACTGCAGACCAACAGATGCCAATATTCTAGGTTAATCAATTTACCAGGCAGCAGTATCACTAATTACAGAAAGCATTACTCAAGAGGCTGTTACTCTGAGACCAGATCATGTACTAATAACCCAGACAATGAGAGTTTAGATAGCACAATTGATATCATTATATTTCTTTTTAAAAGGCCTTTCTTAATGGCCAGTATTCATCATACTCAAAGTTCCAGCTGCCAAATCATTTATATCGTCCTGTGATTCATGGCTGAGTAAGCTTGCTCGAGGTAATGCAAGTAAAGTATTTTAAAGGAGGTACCAATGAGCAATCAGCACCACAACAAACAAGCAATGTTTTCACATGCAAGTCACTGATTAAATGTTAAACAGAAAGTTCTTTTTTATTATGCTAGAGATCAAGAAGAAAATAAAACCAAAAAAGGGTCCGCTGCCTACCTTTTCATTTGTTTCCCTTGTTCAGGACAAACAACTTTCCAGCACACCTGGTTGTATCTGTCAGGAGCCAAAAAACTGTTAAGAAATCATTTGTTTAGAGCAATCGCTTGAGCTTCATTTCTGAGTTAAAGCTAAACTAAGCTGACTCTAGAAGTCCATTTCTGCAGATAGCCTTAAAAATCAAAGCTCTACAAGAGAACCAGAGGACACTAGGGGCTGGCAACTGCCCTCCCATAGCAGCTACCACAGCTCCAGACTTAGAGAAGCAAGTTAGCCTGCTCTCCCACCAAGACTGACTTCTCCTAGAAGATTTAAGAACCTAAGAAGCTACACCAAATTAAGAAGCTACACCAACAAGCTAGTAAAATTCAGTACAGTTTTAAAAGCAGACTTCACAACACCAGCAACATTTTCATTTACTTACTGCTTTCACCTCTTGAAGTTAGCTTTTATTGCACGTTACCTTCTCAAATCTTTCTCCCACAGGATGAACCAACCCTGAGGAAAGCCCTTAAAACCCCCACCACAGCCTCCTAAGGCCACACTCCTTCTCTCCCCAGCTTTACAGCCCCCTGGCCCCATATCAACAGTCCACTCATTTGCTTCCAAAAATAGGGTTAGCTCAAGAAAGTAACCCCACACAGCACCCTCTGTTTTCTCTTGATCACAACACAGCACCCACCACCTCCACCCTTTTTGTGGCATCAGAAACAGGCTTCAGTTAGTGTAGGTCAGCATTTTGGGAAGAGCCAGGCCCAGCAGTGTGCTCTGCTTGAGCCTTTGTCCTCATTGCTATCCCAGTAGTCACCTGCTGAGGTGGCTCGCCAAACTTCCTAGTATCTGCTGGATAGACACCTGGTGGATTATTTTTTTGTTATTGTTGTTGTTGTTGTGTTTTGTTTTTTTTTTTTTCTTTTTGAAGTCCAGTACCCCTCTCTACAGAATCACTTGGTACCAATGCACAGTGCTGCTCCCACCCAGAGGCAAGGCAAGGCTACAGCCAAGGTGGAAAGCCCTGTGGGTGGAAAGCCCAGCGGCAGGTGCAGTTAGCCTGGAAAGCACAGGCATCACTTTCCTGGAGCAGTCCAAAAGCTCAGAGGGTGCAGGCACACCTCCTGATGAAACCTTCCTCAAGTGTACTGCTAGCAGGGCTGTGCAGGCCTGCCCACAGCAGAGGCAGCCCATGCCTTTTAAAGCCAAGCTTGCTTTTTCTTTATTATTTTCTTTTCTTTTATTTTTACTTTTAGATCCCTAAGTAGACACTGTTCTTCTACAAAATATTACAGGGCATTTTTGCTGAATTCACTGGAGGACCCAGCTACGGTTTCATCTCTGAATAGCATGCAGCACCCTGCTGTAACAACTGTAACAATGCAGTATGTTGCTGTAGCAATACTTTTAGAAAGTGGTTTTCCTTCCACTGACTTTTTTACGTGCCAAATGCAGGATTAACTTTCATCACTATGAGAACTTATGTAGAGGCTTCGGTATTTTGTTACAGTCAAGTGCTTCCTTGCCTTTAAGAATAATACAGCCAAGACTAATATCATGATGGTAGAATAGGTTTATCCTAAAGAGCAAAATTTCGGTGCTATATATCTTTTAAATTTCACCTACATAACCAAACAGAAGGCAATTGACTTGTAAGAAAGAAAATTAAAGTTGTTCTAGGACACAGATTTTGGTGCAATCCAAGTGCCTCCTGCAGGGAAGGTCAGATGAAATCCACAGCAAGTTACGGTCTCTTTGGCTTCTGAAGATGTGGAAGTGTGAATAAGGCCAAATCCTTCTCCATCTGAGTGGCTTTGTGCAAACAGAGAGTAAGGTAAATACACAAGAAGGGCTTGGATTGCTTTGAACTTACCACAGACAGACAGGCTAAGCATCTGTGAAGGAATTCAACACCAATCAGGGGATAAAAGTGGCTTCCTCTGTCATAGGCAGTCTGGATCTTTCCTCCTGTTTCTCTCGGCATAAGCCTAATGTTTACAAAACCAGAAGTAGAGACTTAACACAATGTTTATTATTTTACTCCCGAAGTAGAAGCATATCAGTGTTTGATTATAGTTACTGGATATGCCACACTCTTCTTCCTGTTCTCGCTGCATGACAGAAACCAGTATTAACTTGCTCTTAAAACCACAAGTTGAAAGTCTGGAACTTAAATGGCTTTTGAAGTAACTGCCTTGTGCTGCTGGAAGCAATGAGCATTTTCACATTAGCATGAGGGGCAAGAGCAGGGAACATGGCCTCAGCTGAGAGTAGCATAGCTGTGCTAATTCCTGTCTTGTTCACTCCCTTAATATGGTGCTTGGCACTTTGCACTGAAAACCATCTTGCCTGAAAGCAAAAGAAACTGCTTTCTATTAATTCCTCCCCTCTTGGATGACATCTGCCAGCTGGTATAAAGGGCAGCTGAAGTTCACCTTTGCAAATACAAAAGCTGGCATTTTAGGCACTTGAAGACCTAGCTCGGCTCAATGTCTTGTAAATAGCACTTACTTTTCTGCTCCTCAGTTTGTAGTTTTCTGAAGCATATGCACTGCTGAAAAGCAAATTAGTACACATCATGCATGGAATCACATGACAGTAAGCTGCTTCAACAATGACAGCAAAATTAATTGTAACAAAATAAGACTCCCTGGTGTTTATTAGATATTGTAGGAATGCAATGTACAGTATACAAAATTAGTATCAAAACTGTTCATGGCTGATTTTAACAACACATTTTTCTTTGGATTAACTGCACACAAACAACTTTCAAACAAGTTACGCCAGGAATTATTTTTATATTTTAGGGCCTTAAGCATATATCACTGCTATCTTCAGTTTTGATCTACAAAATTAAAGCAACTGAATTTTCGCTGCATCTTGGCATTAGTGAGGAAAGAAAAGGACAGCAACATTAATTTAGAGGAGAAAAAGTATTAGTTCATTACAACAAAATGTTAATTAAGTTCATAAACAAAATTGCTTTTGAAATTCCAAACCTTACAATTGTACATTGTCAATATCAAACACTTGACACAAGAAGTTGCATTCTCTTATATGGATGACAAAGATTTTCAACTTACATTTTTCTTTAGACAGATTCATAAACCTGGTTTTGTTTTTTTCCTAATGAATTTTCACATCTTTAGTATCAGTGTAAAACAAGGTTCATTCTGCTAAAGAAACAGTTTAAATATGGTGCATTTCATAAGATAACTGTGTTCATTTAAAATATTAACTATATAAAGGAGTGTAAAGTGGTTTTCGTTTGTTAAATCACTGTATTGTCAGTTCATTACATACCGTTTAGCAAAAAGAAAAAGTTACTACTAATGACTAACCTAAAGCAGTCCATCTGTCCCACACATCGCATGTTGGCCATAATGCTTTTCAATACAATATAAAATACACTACAAAAGCTGAAATTATTACCAGGGAATATTACATACAGCCATTAGTATTGATAATGTTTCCCTGATTAAAAAAAATAATATAAAATAAAATAAAAAAAACTGTAACTTAATTTCCCATTCATATTCAGCTTTGCTATAGGAAGATGATTTAAACTGAAAATTCTCATATTGTCCAAACATTTTTTCTTAATAGACACTGAATGTATTTGCACAATTACAATACGTTCAAAATAATAGATTGCTGCCAGATAGCAGGAATGGGTGCATGACAAAGACAGAGAACAATGGGATGGTGTGCTTTCTCTTGTGGTGTGTCAAACATAAATCACATTTTAAGCTGGCACACATCACAAAAAGTCTTAAAACAATCCCTGTGAAAGAAACAGGAAGACAAACCACAATAAAAACAATGCAAAGCCATTCTTTAGGAATTTAGAAGAGTCCAAAAATATTTTTGTTCCTTTATCTTTTAACATTAAGCTATTAAAATTCGGTGGGTTGGATGTTTTATTTTTTATAGATAAAGTATACAAATTATCTTATGCTGGGAACAGCTGGGCTTGCTGTTTTCTTTCCTTGTATTTGTTTATTCTTAAGACCACTGGCAAGAACAGTCTGTAGGCTCTTGGATTGTATAGCTGACCCAGGTTGAATTACTGGTGCAATACAATTGCACAGTTCGTCTCTGTAGTCCAAGCTCCCTGCAGCATTTGCAGAATCTTGCGTATGTGTTGATGTTGTAGTTATAAATGCTTGCAGATGGGCACTTTCCATCACAAGAAACAATGTTTACCTGGTAACAAATATGAAGAATAACTGGCAAATTTAAGCAATTATGAAAGAAAGTTAGAAGAGTCTAAAGAAATTAAGCATCCAAATCCAACTGCAAAGCAATTAAAAATGGGGGGATATTTATTCTAGCCCCCTACAAAACTCCACTACATTTGAATAATAAACACTAAAATATGTTGCCTGGATAGGCTTCAATTGTTATGTTATTGAGCTTAGTGATGACTTTCCATTTACTCTTCAATAACACAGCAGGTTTTCACTATTAATAGACACACAAACAATTTGGGGTTTGAATTTTCAAGTATTCATATTGACCTTGACTTGAACGTAACACTGAATGTTCCAACAATAATTCTCTGGAATTAATTTCAGTGGTATACCAATGCAGTGCTACTATACTGGCAACGATAATATATTATTGGAAGAAAATAAAGAAACAATCCTTTGGAAAGCCAAGGATTGTTATTATTAATTATACACAAAAACTAATACAGATTGTAACAGAATCAGGCACAGAAACTGATATTTTTTTCAAGTTCAATAGTCAGGTTTTGCAATGTTTGATGCATTTCTTATTGCTGAAACTAAATTTTCTGGCTGCACAACAGTTCACCCGAGAAAATGTACTCAGTGTCATTTTGCAGGTTACAGCTGTTTCCCTATACTCTTCCATTACAGCTTTTTCAGGTGCTCTTAGACATCTCACACCAGACATCTGCACTGTTCTTGCTGCTCACACTGTCTTACTGCCCAGCAGGACGTTGTTGGTGTCTTCCTACCATAAATCATTCAGCAGACATACAGATAATCTCATTCTTCTTACACATTTCAACATTATTCTGCTGCTGTCTAAAGACAAATTTCTGGACCCACAATTATTTTCTTGTTGGCATTTAAATACCTTCCCTACACAGACAGAAAGTTAAACACATCTACTGTAATTTTAGCTCTATACTGTTGGCAAGTGTCTGTCATATCAAAGTTAATTTGGATATAATAATTGCACTGTAGGGTGAACTAAGAGCTTGGATTTGCACTAAAGTAACATGAGCCTAATGCATTCAAAAGCAGGAGTTACATCCTCATCTATTTTATTATTTGAAAATATGATTGCTGAGAATATAGGGAAACATTTAAACAGTTCTATGAAGCACAGAGACTTCCATCTCTGGAAGAAAAAGAGATGCAGACAATACCACTGTGGAATTTTTGTCCTCCTTCTTCCTTTCTCTTATTTTTTTTCTGTCTATTAAAAGAAATTGTGATAATTGTTTACTTACTGGCGTGTTACTCCTGCAGTCATTCTTGCGAATAGTCATCCGAACAGTCACCTTTTTACAGAATTTTCCATCTTCCTTGCCTGCAAAACAGGCATGGATTGAAAAATATCAGTTCAAAACTCTAAACATTTCAGAGGCAAGAACATTCCTGAATGTTTTATGGGGTCAAGAGGCAAAGAAGAATACACCCAATACCATCAATAAATACACAAATCTTCTTTGACAAAGTGACATTTGCTATACGATCCATTTAAGTGAAAACATTCTTTTAAAACATTCTATTTCATGCATTAAGGTATCTGTCTCGTTGTATCTCCAATAACAGTTCTAAAAGGTTCATTCTTCATTCAGAAGCTTTTTAAAAGTAAGCCCCCCATACCTTTCATAAAATTTTGTAAAACTGATCAACCACTTTGGTGAGATAGCTTGTTAAAAATGAATAAAATGTATTTTCTATTAAATAACTGTAACAAACATTAATAGTAATTACTGAATTCCAGTTGTATAAATATTTTTTTCAAATGGACACAACACTAGGATCTGTAGAAAACTAGACCCCGGGGGGAATGACGACTTTGTATTTCTATACACCTTTATTCAACAAGAAAAAGAACACAAGTAAACAATATAAAATGTTTTATTTACATTTTCATTACCATTATGCCCACATTTTTTTCTCACAAAAGTATGTACAAAGTATGTGGATGAAATAAAAACAATAAAAAATAATTCGTGAAATAAAGTAAAACAATTAAACTTGATTTAAGGAGAAAATCCTGGGCATTGTGATGAAAAGCAACAAAGGTCAGTCCAAAGTTCAGTTGTTAGAGGTCAGAAAGCACAGTATCTTCTTTAGATGATCCTCTGCATGCTGAATAAAACACATCACATTGAAGATCTGTAAGAAAACCAAACCATTCATTCCATTATAACTGCTTCCACAGCTTCATGGATTTTACACACTATGATGCAGTCCCACATGACTTTCCACTTACTGAACTGCATTTTCTTTCAGCCAAGAAATCCAAAGATGTTTACAAAAGGTGAATAATGTTAGCTCCCAAAAAGGACAATGAAAGACTTACTGGTTTGACCAATATCTAACACTGAACTGTGACAGAGGTTTATTACATCTTAATGCTCAATATCCAGTTCCCTATTTTAATTGCTTTCGAACTTCCCTAAAATAAACTTTTCTTTTCTTTTCTTTTCTTTTTTTTTTTTTTAAACAACATAAGAGTCTGCTACCGACTCTGGCATAGCAGAAGTTTCTAGAATATGAAAGAAAGGACAGCAATGAATCTGCTTGGAAGCAAATAAAAATCTACAGTCGGAAATAGCTGGCTATTGCTTAACTATTATTGAATGATGTTTGCTTAAGGAAAAATAAATTGAGAAAAGAAGAAAAAATTGCTTTTGAAAATAAGAATACTCACCATTGTTTCGTGTTTCTCACAGTCTTATACGTGTTCTTTCTTCTTTTATACAATGTGTAGGATGGGGAATTAAGTGCAACTGTGTCTACAATGTCATCTGGGCTACAGTGAAAGTACATCACATCTCATAAAGAAATAAATATATGAAGTATTTCCATGTATGTACTTTAACGTCCAGTGGCTTTTAATGAGCTCTACAAATGGTGTACTTTGCCCTGAACAGTCTTACAAAGCATGCGAGCATCATATATTGGCCGCGTTATAATGAGATTCTTTTTCACGTTCTGCATGGTCAAAAATCCTTGTGTTTTTTTGTGTCAACTCACAACACCCCTGTCACTTGAACTGATGTCAGTATGAAGGAGCAATCTAGACTTCAGAGTAGTATTCCTAGAGTCAGGAGTGAAATTTAATGAAGGATGCATCACTCACTGTACAAAAAAATGTACAACATCACAGTCAACGTTATTTCTCTTCTAGAAACATGGAGAGGTGTTTTCACAAAATAAATGCCAAAACAACTGCATTCATACCGTGTTACAACTGCAAAAGTTATTATGCTTGATTAAAAAGAACAAAGAAAATCTCAGATTTTCATGGAGTAAACACAGGCTTGCTATTTTCAGTATACTGTCCTAACTATGACAGGGAAGGGAAAGAGCTACTTCTACTGAATATGCCACTGGAAGCAAAACTATGTGCTACAGCATTTGCAAAAACACCATGTATTAAATAAGCTGCAACAAGCAGAGCTATTAGTCTCTATGTTCTACAGCATTGTAAACATAATGGAATTAGCTTACATTTTTTAAATACAGCAATTTTACACATGCAGCAAGCTAAAGACTACGCAGGTGTTTACTACCAACAGTATATTGTTGGCTAACAACAATGCACTGCCCACGCAGTGCAAAATGAAAAACCAAACCAAACCACAAAGTGAGTCATTCCGAACCATGAGCAAGTTGTACTACACTGCAGCTTTTGGCAGAACTGGACAACATAAAGCCTGATGCTCCTATCAGGGAGTACATTGTTGAAAATCAACAATGATGCTGTTTGGGTTGATCCTACTTATTTACAGAAAATGTACCTGTGTTACAGCTAGCATAGGCTGTAGGAGTGACTGGGCTAACAAGGAATGGGAGGAACATTGACACTGAAGAACCTGGTAAGAATATTACATATTGAACAGTGTGTTACAGAGTATTCCCTATCACTGTGAAACATTTTGGAGCTATTGGATTTCAACATACTTGAGAAATGAATTCATCCTATAAAAGTCTATATTACTTGCATTGCATAGTGTCAAAACCAGGAAGAATTCAAACATACTGCTTAGGATTAGATTGAGGGCCAATTATTTTTAGTTCTTTAACGGTTTCAATCACAGATGTCTTCCAAAAAGTTATTTCTAACATTAGTATAACTAAGACAATCTGGTACCCTAAATTCAAGTTGTTCTTTTGGTCTGAAAGAAAGAAATAGTGTTTTATTTTATTTTATTTTTTAACAGTGAGCAGTGCAGGTAAAAACTCTCTGGATTTTCAAGGAACTCCTGGGGCTTACACAGAGAACTTCATTTTAAAAATTAAAGCAAAAAATCACAACTCTTTCTAATGATAAAATGAAAAAGAAAAGTTCAAAAGAAAATGACATGCTGATGTGTTCTCATAAAATGTCTCACACAAATTACAATTGACTGATAGCTCTCATGCCAGATTTGTTTTGAGTCAGACTCAACTACATGATTCACTGACCATGCTATCTATAAAGAGCTGTGAAATCAATGACGTAAATGTACTTGTAAATGCAAATTGCAGAAGTCACTGGGTATTTTTAAGTGTTTAATTGTATTCTGTGGTGCATGTCCTCCATTAATAATTTTATTTTGTCTTAAATAATTAAGTGTGATTATGATCTTTCTCTAAATACAGAAGCAGTATCTTCTGCCTTGCTGAAGAGGAGCTTAATAGATTTTAAACCATCTTAATAAATATTTATCCAGAAACTGGTTTATATGGCCGCTAAATCATTGAACAATAATGTCAGATAATCTCAAAAACTAATCTCAAAGAGCCAATGCAGAATCTGCTACAGAACTAGCAACAAGTGCTTATAACATAGGTCCATTAGAGTGAAAAAATCATGAAGATATTACCATTCGCTCATAGTGACAGGGAACAGAAAAAAAAAAAAAAAAAAAAAAGAAGAAAAAAAAGAACAGATCTTCCACAGTTTCAAGAACTTTTGTACTAAAATGTGTAATAAGTTCTTCACTGAATCAGCCAAAATGTTTCAGCTAAGTACCAGGATCTTTAGAAAAAAATGTACTTAGCTCACGGTGTATCTTAAGAATTAGCATAGTTATAATATATTCTGTAGAGAATTATCTTATTTTTTTCCAGAGCACCTTTACTAGCTCTCATAGATGTCAAAACACATCTTTGTAATCAAGTAAAAGTGGATTTTTTTCTTTATAAGTTATTTTAAAAGTTTCCTGAAAGCTTTTAAATTATGTTTATAAACAGAACCCAAGATAATACTACAATTAGTTAAGTATTTATGGCATTAACTTACAAACTGCATAGATCAATCTCCATTTTTTCTCAAATACAAATAAATTCATGTAACTGAAGCATGTTTTAAGGCACCTTCCAAAACACAGTAGCTTTTACTATATTAAATGCAGTAATTAGTATTTTGAGGAGACTTACATGAGAACTACACCATTCTTAAGGTAGCAATGCTAGTGACTTTGACAGCCACAATCTGTATCAGTGTAGTAAAACCGTCGATGTTAAATCATTTTTTTTCCGGTTTAACTCCATTAGCTTCACTAGTATTCACATAAGTGAGACTGAAAAGAACACGTCCTTTGAGATTAGCGAGATCAGAATCAAGCTTCCATGCAGTAAAGCATCAAACTTATTTCTAAGGTAAAAACCAATCAGACAGACCTGTTTTGATGAGTGGAAAATTGTGAATTTCATTTAATCACTTACATGTTTTGCAGCATCCTTCCAGGAATGGTACAACATAGCCTCCAACCTGACCAAGATACAAATAAAAAAGAGAGGAAAAAACACTTTCTTTTTTTTTTTTTCCAAATATGCATTCCTACATATCTGCACTATTAGAAAAATCTTCCAGATAAACTCCGCAATTTATGGTTACATCTTTATAATTTTATTCAGGCAAATGCAACACACCAGTGCACTGATGAAGGCTTACATGTAAATGAACTAACTTGCCAGTTTTAAATACGAATCAGTTATTAAGTAGCTCTCAGTGAATACCACTATACATCATTAGCTAGCAAAATGCCAGATTTGGAAAGGGAATTACTTAGTTAAGTTTGACACCATGGTACTTAGAACAAAACCTTGATTTCTTGCAGAGGCTATATCAGCAATCACAAAAAACTGATTCTGAATTCTAAACAGGTCTCATCTAAATGAGAGGCCATTTTCTTCTCATTATGGAGTGTCATGGCTGTCTTCTGTGCTGTAGCATTAAGCACTTGACAGGGTACTGCAAGAAGAATATCCGTAGCCTTAAAACTCTCATGGGATTACATTGAAGAGTCTAATTTTTGATGTCCATCTCAGTATCTCAAGCCATGATGATCACTTTGCTTTAACTCTTCACCATGTCTTTCCTATCTTTCCTATGCAGATTAAAGAATAAGGGTCTATTGTGCCTCAAATGACAGCTATTCAACTTTTTTTTTTTTTTTTTTTGTATCTACCATATTGCAACAAAGAAGCAACAAACTTTGTACTTAGCTACTAGGTCCCAGCAGCACATGTTACTGGGTTCTGGGACAGGAACAAATGTGAGAAATTTTATTTTATTTTTTATTTGCCTAGAACAGAAAAAAAAAAAAAACAAAAAAAAACATCTAAGCCAGCTGTGTGATTGAGACTCTGAAGAACCAACGCATTTTTATCAATGAGGAAGAACTACAGCTACCTAGTTATTTTAGAATTGTTCCTTGCTTGTGTACTATCATTCATTAAGGAAAGTATCCTCCCACCTGCATGAAAACGTTGAACTAATCAGAAGAATATGAGATATTCTTCCTGCATACATTTGCTGCCACTTAGTCTAACCTCATTTTACAAATTCAAAGCAAAAGAACCTTTGCTTTTCCTGCAAAACTAGTTCACTAGTCTCACTGTTGAAAAGATTTTTCTGATATTTGGACAATCTTTCATTTTCTTCAATGTTTTTGACCATCATGATAAATCAAATTGCCATACACCAAAGCCAGTTATAAAGATGTTATTCAACCCAGAAAATCTTCCAAGTTCAGACAGCTGCTTAAGGAACTATCTTGATATTACACGCCTCCAGGAAAATATAAAATATTTTCTGAGAATAAGAATTGGCCTCTTCATCTGTGTAACTGGGCAGTCTGGTGGCACACTATACGTGTATAGGTAGAGCTTTTCATCTTCAAAGATCAGGCACTGCACGAATGTGTAATTTCTCCTTCTTGAGGTAAGAAAGTATTTGGTCAATGTTAATCTTTTCATGCAATCATAAATCATAGGTGGAATGTAAACGATGTATTAAGCACTGACCTTCACACATTCTGTTTCGTTAAAGGGTGGGCAGCCAATTGAAGATGCAACTAGAACTGGTTCTATTGCTGTGTTAATGCATTCATATCTGATGCAGTTTGAAATCCAGATAGTACCAGGCTGTTAAAATTGAAAAACAGAATCTTTACACAGCAACTCAGGAAAAACAATACTACAAATATTCATTATACAATTCCACTGAATGCAATTTTGTCTGTAAGACTTGCAAAACATGATTTAGATGCACCTTGAAATTCTGTTTAAGTACAAAGCTTAAAGTCCACTAAATCATGTAAACAGCTTATAAAATAGTCAGGTTTACTATTATTCTCTGGTATATCAAAATCCTTTAGTCCTCATAGACAGCTATATGATTGACTCTCCAAAAAACAATGTTGTATAAATGCAGAGCTATTCCTAGTATTTGACCAAATACAGCTCTTACTTGAACAATTTATACAGCAATGTATGTAGATTGTTACATGATTTTTTTCTCTACTTCTGAATATTTTGACAGAATAAGACATTTACAAATTTACCTTAAAATTGGCAACTGTTCCATTGTTGAAAGTGTGAAGACATGACATGTTCTTACAGCTACCACAGCAAGTTGCTAAATCTTTTGGAGGTTGATAGACTTGGTTCTGCCAAAATCAAATATATTAATCCTTGTATGACACCATTGTGCAATTTGACATTTTATTAGTGTAATGGTAAGATTTATTATTATTATTATTATTGTTATTGTTATTATTAGGGGGGGAGGGGGTATCTGGTTTTAGGGACAGTTCTTAAGTAACTTTCAAAAACATGTAACTTGCATTTATGTGCTCTGTACGTTCAGGAACCTTTTAAAAAGTACCTTTGATCTTGATTGAAGTAAATGGGAAGGAATCTCCAACTTGGAGAATGAACTGGTCTTTCTATCATTTTCAAATGTTAGCCTGACAGGTTACATCAACAACCACTGAAATTATGACTTTTTACACATTAGACAGCACATACATAATTTAGAAAGTAAACCATATGATTTCTATGATTATGGATCATATTTTCTATAAAGACACCATCTTCTTATTTAATTAATCTGTTTTCTCTTCCCAGTTCTTACTGACTTCTTATTAAGTCTACTATGTCTGGCACTTGTGCCAGTTTACAGCACAATGCAGCTAAAGCTACAGATGCAAAGTGGCAGTATGCTATTAGTCCTTTAAGGATTAGCATTGTATTCTGTATGGAATCCTACTGAGCACTGGGCCCCTTCAGTAGATGGTTCAAATGCATGAGATGGTACTGCAATTTGCAATCTTATGCACTGTAGGGGAGAACAAATCTGTCCAGCCCTTCAAACCATCTCTCCATCAAGCTAGTGCAAAACCCTCCCTAAACATGATCTAAGCTTCAAAAAATTTAGATAAAATAAGGTCCACTTGTCTTTCTAAAGGGAAGCAATAGGAGGGTTATTACTGACTCTACTGTGTCTGTTCTGTGCTCCAGTCGCCCAAATTAACCTTGTATTTTCACAGCAAAATGAGTAATTTTGAGGGAGAATAGATCACACAGTGAATTTAGGACTTTACAAAGAGAGGTAACACATCGTTAGAGGGGGGTCTCATAGTTCCTTTTTCTATCTTGTTCCCATGACAGAATCACAGAATCAGAATCACAGAATTTCTAGGTTAGAAGAGACTATAATCTACTAAAAAAATAAAAAATGTAATGAAGACCAAAAATCACAACATAAATGTCTAAAATCCTGGATTTCTTACAGCTTTGCACTTGACAGCACAGGCTACTGATGATGTGTTTATTTGGTAGTATTTAGTAGAAGGATCAATCACATTTGTACAAGTAGAAATATGGCAAATGCCATCTGGACTGTGTTCCACAATTTTCTGTCCAGGTAGCAGCACACCTCTCTCATTACTCAGGCAAACTTTGTCTCTCACTACAAGAAAAATAAACAAACAAACAAACAAACAACTCACTCAGGACAATTAGCTTGGTATCAGAATATTTAAAAAATGTTTCAAACAGTAACATGGGAATGGAAAAAGCTGCTCTAACTCTTCAAGAAATATAGGTCAGATTTTCAAATGTAAACTGTTAATAATGAACTAATGCTTCATTACAACTGTCAAATTACTTCAAAGATCATGGATGATGAAATCTAAGTGAAAAAAAATTCTATCAGCAGTACCACAAAAATGACGTGCAGACTTCAGCTGATTTGAATTGTGCTTTAGGATAAGAAGTGTGCCTGAGGACGGCTATTGCTCCCCATTGATTTCTGAAGGAGCAGAGGATAAATAGCTCAGAAGTATACCTTTGTTGTAGAAATCTATGCAAAGACAATCTGAACTTCACTGGCCGACTGAGTGTCACCCAGGAATTATTTTTTCCTGAATTTTTTCAGATACTACTGGGCCAAGATGAATTTTGCATGGTGCTCAATGCTACCTCCTTGATCATATAAAACATGTAAGCATATCCACCAGCTCCTGAGTAGTCTCATAATGTGTTAGTGGGACTATTCGTGGACATCACCTGCTGGATTCTTCCTTCCAACTCATTAACGCTTAGGCTGGTTAGTCAACACTTACCAACTTCTCCTAAACTCTGTCTTCTATTTCCCTGCACAGACCTCCTGTTGTAGGAAATATAAGAATCCAAGGACAAGCTATAATCGACTAAATATTTAGAGAGCAGTCCTATTCTCCTGTCTTTTCATATGCTGTCAATTATGTCAGTCAAGTATTTCCTCTTATGTACCACGTTCAAAGCTCAGATGTACAATTTATAGTTAATTATAATTACCTTGCACTTAAAAGGGTGTTTCTTTCAATCAAATTGTTTTCAGACTTACCACATTTGTATTTAACACAGTTACAGATATTTTCTGTACTGTTCTGAAACTGTTCGTCTATCTGAAGTTTCTGCCCCTATGGGTATAAAACCAGAAAAAAAAAAAAAAAAAAAAAAAAAAAAAAAAAGAAAGAAAAGGAAAAAAAAAAAAAAAGATAAGTAAAATGACAGTGCTTGCTCATTTACATTGATCTTTTTCTTGTAAACACCTTTTCTCCAGGATTCGAATAACAGTATCTCTTGCCCCTAGAAATCTACTTTGGTTTCCACTTTGATCACCCACAGTGACATTAAATTTAGTAATGGGATTATTTTTTTTACACCTGAAAAATAGCAGCAGTCATTGGTGTCAGTACAGGAGATACGTAGGACAAAGAAGACTATGGCAGGCCAACAACATGATGCAATGGCTTGCCTTTATACACAACTCTCCATACAGTGTGGAGCGTATTTTTTCAGGGAGTAACTTAATGGATGTAAATAGTATCACAACAGCATATGTGTACTTTTTAATTCTACCTTTTATAGTTTACATGCATGCGATTGAAGACTTTCTTCCCATTCCTGATTCATTGTGCCTAAGTTTCTTCATCTATAAAATGAACTAACAACTGTGTACTATTTTCAGTTCCTGCCTAGCGTTTCAAATTAGAATTTTTATTGATTATTCCCACTGCAGTATTATTTTTTGAATAAAATATTCAGTCCTGACCAAGAGCCTAAGCCAGCAATGCTAATAAGGATTTTTGCAATGCAAAACAAATCACAGTAGAATACAATTTTAAAAGTTTTGCTGAGTCAATGGTCTGGGTGCATGATACAGATTAACATATGCACTATGACAAATAATATTAAATAAACAGTAAGCTTTAAAGCATTTAGTTCTGACAATTGAACAAAATTCTGTCCTTGGATTCATGAAAGCAGTTCTGCTCTATGAATACTCAGGGCAGCATATGGTCATAAAAAATTAAGAAATGTCAATACCATACAGTCATTTTATTCTGCAAGACATTAAAACTTAAATGGCTACTTAAAAACTGAAATAATTTCTTGTAAAACAATTAAAAAAAAAAAAAAGAGAGAGAGAGAGAATGACATGACATTCCATATTTTACTGATAAAACTATTAGTAAGATACTAACAAATATTTGTATTAACAAAACAGTAAAAGCATAATGGTAAATACAATGGATTCCATACCAGTGTACACTGAGGCTTAGGGATCGTTTCACATGCACATTCTAAAACAAAATACAATTACAGAAACAATGAATTAGAAAGTTATATGCAATTTCTTTAAAACAGAACATCACAGAGAACAGAAGTTCCACATTTTCAAGTCACCACTGAAGAAGCCTTGCAGGTACATATTTGAAATACACCAACCTGGGGAGTCCAGAATTATATCTGTTTTTTAATACATACTGAAAACTAATAGCAGCTTCTGTGACCACCTTTACATTTGAGAACAATTTACAGCATTTTATCATCTGCAGTCCATCTGAACATGTTGAAAAAAAATACAATTATTCTAGCCTCTAGCTATTTTAAATCAATGATAATCATTATAATCAACATAAAGAAATGGAGAATTGTGTTTAAGGCATCACAGAGAGATGTATGATATACTACCACCTTTGTAAACTGTCAAATTCCTGCCTTGTGAACACCTCACAATTTATTTTTCGTTAAAGCTGTAAATAATTTACTAACTGTGACTTTACACTGGTTGTTCATAAGATGGTCACCCTGGTACAACTGGTTTGTATGCATGGCAGATAACCATTTGCACAACTTAAAGTCTATGTCTTTATTAATTTTTAAGACTTAACCCCAGGAAGCCATAGCTCTTGTCAGTGTCTTATTTTCTAAGTCAACTAAAATCAAAAAAAGTCATTTTACCACATGTCCGAAATGGGCAGCACTTCTCTGGGCTCCATACCTCCACCAAAGACATGCCTAGCATACACTTGAATTCAGGACAACGATGTATTTCACAAACTAAAATTAAGGGAAATAAAATCCAATAAACAGAAGGTCATCATATTTTGTTGAGCAGTGATATGAATCAAGAGATACTAAATGGCTTATTTGTAATGAATACTTTTAGAAAACATCTTACTTGAAAAGACAGATGATCAAAATTTAACTGTTAGCCATCAGGTAATAGTGGTGTTGAGTACAACTGTCCTAGGCAAATATTTAAAACAGTTTTAAATCTCCAGAATTTGGGGTCTGAAATCTGTCTCCATTATATACATATATTCAGATAATGCTTTAGGCATGTCAAGATTTTAAAGGAAAGAGTAAACAGATTATAGCTTGCTTATATACACAATGGAGCTTTCTCTCTAACCCACCATTTTTTGGCACTGAACATCCACACTACAAAATTTGCCATGTTCTCTGTTACTTAAAACATCAAAATCAAGTCAAACTTACTACACTGGTATGTAGGGCAACATCTCTCTGTGGTGTTGTCATCCACAATAAGAACTTCTCCTTCTTGACATTTGGGTATTTGATCAGAGCAAGCCCCGCATGCTGGAGAAAACAATTATTTAAATCTAAAACACAGGAAGAAATTTTACTACTGCCTAGGAAACACATACCGGTAAGTTTCTCGCAGACACATATGAAAGAGAGCAGAGGTACTTTGAAGTCATTCCTTCCCTACACAAGAGGCTAATATTCAGTGCACCTTGCCTTTTATTTGTCCCTTCTATTAAATGGAATGAATGCAATAACTCTTTGTGAGTCAGATCATACCAAACAGGATTTTCTCTCAATTTCTTTTGTTATGATTTTTTTTTTCCTAGTTTTTCTCTCCTGCCAACTCACCCTGTTGTTTTCACGAGTGCTTCGTCTGCTAGGACTATAGAATACCTTTGATCCACAATTAAAGGCATTTCCTGTGAGCCCAGCATTGTCCTCCCACTTAAACACATAGCAAAACTACAGTAGGTACATTCTGATATTTACTCAAAGACATCATATCAAAAAAGAGACAGAAGGACGTTGTGTGGACAGAGAAAAACCAAGTGCAGCATGCTGCTATCACATGCTCAAGGTGACTCCCTGAATACTGTAAATAACAGAAGCGTATTTAAAGTTTCCTTTGAAGGTTCAAATTTTTGCACTTGGAAATGCTACTGAAGACGACAGCCTATGATTCATAGAAATCTACAAGCAAAATTGGAGTCCATTCAAATGAAGCCTACAGGACATATAATTATCACATTATTTTCCTACAGAAAACAACTCTATGGTAACAAACAGAGCTCCTAAACTGATACCAAAAGTGCAATTTCATTACTGAATTAAGTTGTTAAGGGTCAACCCCAAGGAAACTGAATAAATTTGCTTATTTCTCTCATTTCCCATCATCTAAGATTGGCCACACCTGATACAACACCAGGATATAGGGAGCAAAAGCACATACAATTTCAGTCTTCTTTCAGATAAAACAATCTTACAGCCAGTCCACACACTGTGCACAGACAGGCACTCAAAAGCCCTCAGTTGCTTCACCCATGGACTCCACCATCACATTACCCAAGAACACTACTCAGTTGCACAAAGCCACTCTGTGATTTTTGGTGGTTGTTGCCATTTCTTATGTTCTGTAAACCTAAATGTCACTTTCAAGCCTTACTGTGTTTGGAGAGCTGTAGAGAGTACAAAGAACCTTAGCTGAGAAGTTATGAGCAGGCATCACTGCATACACAAAAACACTTAAAGACTCAGAAAGCCAGGATGTCGTACCACATATATAGGATATGCAGCAGGTACTCTCTACACGAGCAGCAATTAGTGTTTGATCCTCTTGACAGCTTGGCATCTGCTCCATTGGTTCGCATTTTGCTGGATCACATTCTGAAAAAAGCACAACAGATTATTTCTTTACGTAAAGTACACCATTCCTCTTTAGTTATGCTATACGTGTAAGAAACGACAATGTAGAGCAGAGAAATACTACAAGATCCTTTAGAAATCCTTTTATTTTGTATCACAAAGTGATACACACATCCTTGCCTGAACATTAAACAAAAGACTCATTTATGTCTGCACCAACCAAGGCATAGTCCAACCCTGAGCTTTTAGATGAAAGACATTTTTTTAAATTGACATATTAACAATGATGTCTAAGTTAACTTTCTTTTGCTAAAAAGTTGATCTATTGGTTTACTGCCACACCTGATAACACAGTAAACTGTGTTATCTTTTCAAAAGAAACCTACCGCAAACATAGTTGGGACAACAGGATTCTTCACTGTAGTAAGTGACCAGCTTTTCCAAGCCATTACATTCTGGGATTAGGGATTCACAAAGGCTCTGATTACAAACTATTTCATAAAGAGAAAGAAAGAAAAAAGACAACTTCTAAACTACTTTATGCATTAATAAGTTGAGTAGTGTATAGCAGTATTTGCAGTTTGATTTTGATACCCCAAATCTCCAAAGAAACACTACAAACTAGCAAAAAAAAAAACAACCAAACAAAAAAAAAAAAAAACAAAAACAAGACCAAGATCAGAAGTGTCCAGTATTTGCCACACTCTCTGTGGAGGCAAAATTAAAGGAGAGCTGAATTTTTGTGAAATCTCCACTTAAAAAAAAAAAAAAAAAATTATTGCGGAAAATTCATTGCAACAATATCAACCCAGCTGGCCAAAACAGGAAAATTTGCAACTCGTTTTGAATATGGACTTTCTAAGCTAAATATGAAATAAGAAAATATTAAATAAAAGCTTTTAACCTTTTTTTTTTTAGTGTTGACTTTGTAAAGTCATCTGGTATCTTTTTCTAATAATTAGTTATATCATTGATTTGTATTTGGATGTTAAAATAGCTCATTAGACTGTACAGCTGAGAGGAACACAATACATACCAAATAATCACAGCTTTTTCAGTTCTTAGAACACTTCTCACCTCCCTTTCCCTTTCCCCCAAATCCCACTAGACATTTAGCCAATGGTACAAAGATTTTACAGTTTTCTGCACAATCTATAAATTCAAATAATTACCATACACTTCAAAAATAGGATGTGTAACAGGAAAATAAAACACAGCGAAAGGTTATTTGCAAATTTCAGTGAGTAATATTCATAATCATTAAAGAATACTTACTACAGATCTTCTGAGGACAACATGTATGATCACCAGGAACAAGCAAGGCCACTTCTGCAAATCGCTGACAGTCTAAATTGTGGATATCTGAACAGTTGTACTCCATTGGAATAATAGTCTCACTGTCAACACATTTTTCCATACAGCAGCCACTCAAAGAAGTTTTCCAGATCTCACCCACAGCATGAGGTGCTCCTGAGCTATCTGTACAAGCTAGATCAGAGCAAGAGAAGATAGAAGCCATGCCTTTTTATTTCCAGTTTTCACCACCATTTTCTTCCACAGAGGGTACAGAACTATAAAAGTTCCAGAGTTTTTAAGGCATCACCTATCCATATTACCCCAACAAAAAAAGTTAAAGAGGAAACAGTCTGAGACTGAGTTTGTATGGGAATGCAAGACACTCAATACCCTCCTGAGGATCAGGGTCTCCACTTTGTTTTGAGTCTCCACTGCAAAGCTAGGCACTTAAGATCCCAATGTGATTCTTTGTTTTTAAACCTGTGATCTGAAAAGAACTTGCTTTTGTATTTCACACACATCAAAAATATTATTAATTTACAGTGCTTTATGCAATCTCTTTTTAAAATTGCATCTTTCAGATTTGTGTTGTTAGTTTTAAGTATTGGTCCACAATTCGGTGTCCTCAGGCAGAAATGTAATGAAAAGAATTATCAATGCTGGCAGATAGAAGATAGGATGTATATAATCCAAAATGTGTAATTAACTGTTGCTGCATGACTTTTGAATTCCATTTAGTATCATTAGATGTGACTCCTTGGCAAAGGGCAAGGTGAAAAGGAGGCCAGGACTAACATACTTCAAATAATGGAACACATAAGCATAAGTAAAACCTACCATTTTTAAGAGCATCCTCCAGCTGAGAGAAGTTGAGCAAAGTCATATGCCACAAGGACATTTCCTGCTTGCCCACCTGTAAAGTTAATGTTTACTGAATCCCCAGAGGCCTCAACTGAACAACATATGCAAAGCCTATGCAACATCAGACCAGGCCTGGATAATGAAGCATCTGACCACCAGCTTGCAGACAATAAGGAAGCAAATCACATCAAAACATACCACATTTTTCTTCAGGAATACAGAGAGCAGTGTGAGCTCGGTGCAGGATGGTCCCTCCAGCACAGACACAGCCTTCTGTCAACACCGAACAGGTGTCTGAGTCCAGAGAAGCAACCTCATTATTCTGACAACTATCTGGAACCTCACAGGCAGCTATACAAGCCTGGTAGGAGAAGTTTTCAGAGCAGGGGAAGGCTAGAAATGAAATAAATCAGTTATCCAAAGACCTAATTACATGAGGGTGTACTACCTAAGAGATCTACCAATCTGAAACACTGATACACATCTTCTACATGACAAATTCAAACAAAAATAAATTTCACAGGCACTTCACTTCTTTGTGGTAACATTTGTATCAGGCCTTGTTTTGCATTTTGGTGGTAGAGATTAAAAAAAAAAAAAAAAAAAACAAGCAAAAGTGTTGACACAAAATAATTCATACTTGAAAAACATTTACAAATACCAGATTTATAATGGTACACAGATTAATAATGCAGTGTTTTGAAACACATCAAGTACTTTGCAGTGGATAAAAAAACACTGATTACTAAAGAGCAAAACATAGTCTTTTACAAAAAAGATACATGTAAAGGCAAATTCAGCCTTGTTTTATTTGAAACAAAAAAGAATGGCGTGAATTCATTCCTATATTTAATAGATATTCACTTTAATCACTCTCTTGGATGAGGTGTGTTATTTTAAAGTCCATGGACACAGTTAAACTTAACATTCTTTATACTATTAATGCAAATTCATTGGTATGTAATGAGTGCATGCTGGAATGAATCGATTTAACCTTTGCTGTTGAAAACAACATGATGGATCAAAACTGCTTAAATGCGGGTCACATACAAGCTGCATATATATGGCAAAGAGAGAATGACTACGAATGCCAACACTGTTTAAAAAACAGTCCACAGCGTGTTAACACGTAGTGACCACAAAATCCAGCTATGACTTCATTGGTCTTCCCTCCTAGGTGTGTACCACCAGATACACTGTGATATAAAACCAAGAGAGCATGCATCCCATCATGATGGATGGAGTAGTTAGCTATATTTACAGATATATTTTGTAAGGTCTCATTTTAAACATCTATTTGCAATTGAAATTCACACAAACTTGAATATATTTTTTTATATCTGACTATTTTTAAGCTTTAGACTCCATGATTATTGGTTTTACTTGCAGCACATTATGGCATGCCCATGCCCTTCTGATGACAAGTATACATGTAGGTCGCATTTGGCCATACATTTTAATATGCTTAACTTTTCCATCTGCGAACTGGCTACAATGAGCCTGATTCTTTTCGCACAGTGTTTTCTATTTTATGATAAAAGCTGATGAATTTATTCTCCTAATAATAATTTCCAAGGTACCTGAAGACTCCAGGAGCAGTGATATTTTCAACTTACAGTAAGTTATTACTAAGCAGGTTTTGTCTCAGCAACCACTAGAGATATGCATACATGGAGAATACTTACGGCAGTAATCAGAGCTCCTCCATTCTATACAAATATTAAATTTGTTGCACATTGCCACATAAGCAGCTAGTGAGATGCATGGATTTTGAATGTACTTGGTGTCTTGAACCCATATATCACAGAATAGCTCAGGTGGAACCTAGGAAGGAAAAGATGAAAAATATTGTACCTTCATAGAGACCCTGCTATGTAGCAAAAAGATTGACCTTTTTAAATATCGGCTACAAACAACTAAGGCAAAAGTTCTTGATTCACACGAAAAAGGGACCATCTGACTTTATTGGTCTACAGAGTGTCTACTGGTATTTAAGGGAAGGTTTCCTGAACATGTTTAAAAAAAAAAAAAAAAAGAGAGAGAGAAAGAGAGATGTCCTTATACTCCTCAGTTTCATTTATTTTAAATGCCAAGGCAAAAGCTAACATAATTTTTCTAACAGAAGACATAATTACTAACTATACTTCATTCTTTCTCCCTATGTGCTTTTGTTTGGTTTTGACTCCTCTTCATCAAACCCAATAATATGCAAAAGTTGAAATGGTAAATGAACTCACAGGAGCACAAATAAATGTTTTGTTTCCACAGTTTTCTACTTATGCTTACTTTAAAGGGTCTGCTCAACCCTCTCCTCACGGTAAGCTGGAATTCCTGCTCTCTACAGCCCTTGAGAATGCAGGCCTTTACATTCTGCACTGTGGTCTGAAATTTGTTAAATTACTGAACACTTAAATATGAAATAAGTCCTAAAATTACTTTATTTTACTTTGCTGTACATCCTATTGATCCAATTGAATTATCTGGGACTGATTTATAAATTAAATGCTATTACCAAAACTAACAGAGATATATAAGGAATTCTGAAATTGTCAGTTGCTTATTGCAACTCTCCAATCAATTTGCTGCACTCTTCAATTATTTTTATCTCGCAACTGAAGAGACAAAAAAGTATATATCTCATTCCATAAATGTGGTTACATGTAGTCCCACATTAATGAAACTATCAAGTATACAAAATTCTATCACAACAGCATCTCTCCCAAAATGTAAGCTTCCAAAATATTTAACATACATAAGGGTGACAGCTGCTGAAGGTCTGGTTCGAAATCAGTCTTAAGCACTCTGAGCAGTCCATGACTGAGCAATTAGTTTCCTGGTGCCTGTCTTCTCCAACATACTTTAATGTGTCTGGCACTTGCCAGCTGTCTATAAAAGTCGATGGAGCATCACTTTTGCTTAACACTGTCCTGTTGGGTAGCATCAGGTCATTTTCCAAGCTTCTATCACAAAGACCTATGTATTACCAAAAGAAAAAAGCAGGTTAACACTGGACAGTTCATTGTCTAGTATGTTTGAAGTGGCATATTCAAACAAGTAAATTGCTTTTAAAAAACTTACAGTACGCAAATAAAAAAACTGTACACATTTTTCTAAAAAATGTACAGAATATGGCAGTATCACAACCCACAACAGATATGCAAAGTTTTGTAGGATAAAGATATAGGAACTTCACACAAAGTGAATTAAAGATTTATCTGTGAATTGCACATGCATGAAACAAGAACTATCACATATCAATGTGTTGTTCAGAGCCCAGCGATGATGTGCAAGCTTCACTGCTGAGTTGCACAAGCACTAAAGAAAAAAAAAAAAAAATTTAAAAAAAAGAAAAAGAAAAAGAGGTTACAAAGCACCTCCATGTATAGCAACAAATGAAAACTGCAAATATTATCTGAAAAGGCAGCTCCCATTAAATGTCAAGATGCCTATCTGATACTGTACTTCAAAAGTGTAACACCTTCTTTTACTTATGCTTCTGGGCAGTGTTGAACACCTTTTGGCTTAAGAGCTAACATAAAAGTGCAGCTTTTGGCATTTCCAGGTACATTTATATTACCACTCAGCAGGAAGAAAGCAATCTTTTATTTATTTTATTCACAGAAGGCAGCATCGCATCTTGTTTCTGTTTAAAGTAAGGTAGCTGGCATTTTCAAAACACTGGGGAACAAAGGAAGCAACATAGAGCACATGGAGAGCAATTTGGTTAACACAGAACATCCGAGTATTACAACAGTCTCTGCTGGAAAGTCCTTTAAGAGCCAGGCAGTACAAAAGCAGAATGACAAAATCAGTCTCCCATTCTTTCTTCCGAATCACAATTTCTGATGTTTTTGTATCAGATTTCTAGAAAGCATTCTTCTGATGTTTCAAGAAACTTTAATAACAATTCTAAAGATATCTGTTCAGCAATTACTGGTGAATTAAACCTTTTTCTAGAAAATTGGTGTTTTAGCATTTTTCACTTATGAGCTAGCTGCTGACAATCAGTGATATAGCGATAAGCATTCAAGAGTAAAACAGCTTTTGAAGCTGTAAATATTAATTGACCAAAATAAATGTAAATATTAATTGACCAAAAATGTTTCTGGTTGAATATTCAGAGGTTGTGAGTCTATGCAACACAAACAGGAAGTACTGACTTGAGTTTTGAGAGGTCTGAAGGAGACCATGTCTGACTTAACTTTTTCCAGTTTTCTTGTACATTGATAAGAAAACACAGCAAAATTAAGGTTTCACGTTCGACTTGGCTGGACCTGGCGGCACCTACAATGACACGCTTGCACAGTTTCACCAGTGTTGTTACAGAGATATCCATAATCCCTTGTGACCTCCCTCATCTCCCATACCAGCTCTTCACCACTTGCCATGTTTGCCTGATCCAGTCACTGTTAAAGGCACTGCCATCTGATGCAAATACTTCCAAGGGATACTCGCTGCTACAAAACTGTAATGGTGCCTTCAGTTCCATGTTTTACCTGAAGCTGAGAAACTAGGATCTACTGGTACTGCAGATCAGCCTAAAGACATTCTGAGAAAGCTCGAAGACAAACAAATGTTTGCATTTGCAAACGAGTGCAGAAAGCATGAGAGCTCATTGTAGACTAATTTACCCTGAAAAGGTGCAGGGTAACCTTAAAGCAGGTTCTGGTGAGTCACAACAGACAGCACCATGCAGGCAGGTTTATACAGAGAATCCCAATCAGAGATGAATGCCAGAAACACATGACACATTCTCCAGAGAAGTTGTACACAGAACACCAGCTATGGGGACATGTCATCTTGCTAATGGACCGTGTAAGCCAGGAATGTAACATACTTAATTCTCCCCATCACAATAACCAAATGGGTAAAGGCAAAAGAGAATTTCAAGTATAACTTGAATCGGGCCTACTAAAAAATATAATCTTTACATTCTTATTTCTGTTTGATCTAATTACAATTAGCTATACAGAGAAAGAATGATATTAAAAACAAAGGTCAGAGCAAATTACAGATAATAACCCAATTTCAAAATGACAGTAAATTCAAACTCTCTTCCTTTGCAAGAAGCATTACTGTCCACAGGACTTGGAACTTGACTGTGCTATCACTGGTATTTGATACTGAGCTACAGGCATTTGCCCTTTCTGAAACTGGCAAGATTTCCACTGTAATTATGAACTCTGTAACCCTGGTTTCCAGCTCCAAATTACAGCAGATAAATTTACAGATTCAGGTGTCACAGTAAGGATATAGAACAACACAAAAACATGCTTGCAAAAACTATAGCACTAGCAGCTTATTCAAGGTCATGGTTTTTACAGAAAAGTAACTACATGAAACGATTGAGCAGACCTAACAGAGTGCAGTATTGTGGTTATTTAACCCATTAGTATTAAAAAATTTCCCCTGAACTATTTCCTCTAACAGATAAACTAAGATAGATTATCTCAAGTTAACAGTTCCTGTGAATTCTGACCTTTAGAAACTGAAAATAGCACAGATCACTTCCTATCAGATGGACAGCAAATACTAAATCTGTAAATGACCTTATTTGACATTACAAATTTATGTCTGGCTTACTTATTTAGGTTTGGTTACAGCAATTGTGCTTGTGATTCCAACAGGCTACATTCAGAAACAAAACTGTCAGTAAAAAGTGAATACATTGATAGGTATCAAATGTTATTTCAACAACCAACCAAATTATTAATCATTTCATGTTAATAGGTGTTTGTTTGTTTCATTTGCAGTGGTCTGCAATAACTCTTTTAAGCAAGATTCTACAAAAGATGTAATTAGGAAAATGTGGTTCCTTATCAAAGCATCTGAATATCTTTATTTCTAGCAGTACTCTATACTTACCACATAGTCCCAAAGCTTTCGGTTCTCTGGTAGTATTGAACTCTATGATCATCACACCTGTGTTGTGAAACCACTGAATTCTGATTTTTGTTGGGGTCTCAACTGCATACTTGAAGCCTGAATCCTCTACCTTGTATCCATATTTTCTAACAGTAGGCCAAGCAAATCTTGAATTTACTGTTATCTAAAATGAACACAGAAGAGTTTAAATGTCAGGTACCAAATGCTGTAGGTGGAAGAACTAAAGTCATATTTTCAACAGTTTATGAATCTATCTCCTAATTTAAAAAGAAGCTAGGCTCATCTTCACAAAGATATCTAGGCACTAAAGAGAACAATCACTTTAACTGCCTTACTCTGTGACTTATCTCATTAACTGTCCTTTTACCACAGTTTGACTCTCTGAATTTACATGTTTACTAAATTCCCAAGTCCTAACAATAAAATACACTACCTGCTGTGTCTTATGCTAAACTTCCATATCCACATGATAAGATAGCTGATGAATAGATAGCAGATGTTAGCAGAAATAAGATGCTATCTAGAAGGCAGAGAAAATTAAAACCTCAAAGTACTTACTTTTCTACTTAAACGATTGATAATAATTTGGTTTGATACATAGGTTAAGTTCAACATTGCAAGGCACAGGGAAGTTGAATTTGAATTGTTCTGTGGAGAAAGCAAAAATATATAAACCAGAGTGATAATGTAGAAAAGCTTTATACATTAGCTGTTTATTATTTTTAGATACCAGGACATTAAGAATTGTTTGTGTATATTTTTAAGACAGGAAATCTGCCGCTGTTTGTAATTTCAAGTTTGTAATACAAGGTTCATCTGGATAAGTCCATTTTGCAAAATACACACACAAAATATTATTGTACTTAGGAACTGTGTTGTATCACCCATTCTCTAAATTATAACAGATATAAAGGTTTTCAGGAAAAAAAAAAAAAAGTACAGCAGAATAGCTCTTTGGACATTGAAAAATAGGAACTACATATCTGAAGGTAAGCAAAAAGAGGACTGGGAATGATGAATTTATATGATCAGTGAATGGTACAGAAGAAATGGATCAGAAATATATGCACACAAAAAAGAAATAGCATTTAATATAATAAAGCAAAAATATGAAAAGTCAGAACCAGATCTGCTTTGTTATACCAATCATATTGAACTTCTAGAACTAACTTCGATAAGGTACTACACTATTCATGACCAAACCTTGTGTGAATATTTATATGGATGTCAACATTACCTAGCTTTCACAGAAGAGGCTGGAGTTAAAAGAATTTTGTAAAGGCAATTATTCCACACTCATGAGCACTTAGCTTTTCATGACATAAAGCCAAATCTCTACACCACCCACTAGACACGATATTCTGTAATTGCTCCTTGTAGGGTTTTTCTCTTCTCTCTCTGAAACGGCAAATACTTGCCCCTGTCCCTGTCCAAGACCTAGAAATGTACTAGGTGGTCTATTTTTTTCTGACAATACTGCATTCTTTTAGGGATCTAAAGATCGGTGTTTCTGGTGCAAATTTCTCCACATGAAAATATTTGAAAAGTGATACAATGAAATAAAATACATTGCTAGGTTGTGCTAGCCAGCATTCCTTGAAACAAAATTAGGGTTGAATGAAACTTAGTAAGGAATTCAAGTGTGTTAATCCTCACTCTGCAAGGCAGTGCCTGATGAAATGCCAAGTGAGCTAATGCAGCTTCAGAAAGTTCTTTCAAATTCTACATATCTTCTCTTTCGCACAGTAAAGTCAAGTGAAGCTAGATACACAAAAAAATAGCCCTCTACAATGGTACTTTTTACATACTGGTGGGAGTGACTAATAAATGCATATCCATTTAATCTCACAACATTGCCTGTTTTACACATAAAATAAGATAATACGGACCTACCTCTCACCTTCCAGCTGTTTCAGAATAAAATATGCCCATACAATTCTTGCAAAGCATTGTAAAGTGCAAGTACAATTCATAGATATTGCATAGGATTGAATAATTAAACACAATTGCATACAAATATTATAACCTTTTATTTAGAAAGATGTGCATTAGAGGAATATATGTGTAGCTCATTCCCAAGATACATCTTATTACCAGTACTGAACATCCTTTGTTAGCTGATAAACATTAGTTACCATTCTACAGTCAAGGACATGGATGCTTATAGTTTCATCTTGAGTTTGACTAACAATGTAGGATGCTTCTTTGAATAAAGCCAGATGATTTCCATCATAGGTTACAATGCTCAGATCAGAGAAAATTGTGCAACGACCTAAGAAAAATAAGAATAAAATAAATGTATTTTCTAACTTAATAATGTATTTTCTAACTTATGCTACTTTCCGTAAATACTACAAAATAGAAAGATAAAATATTGAGTTATATAAGATTAAATTCTTTGCTGTACAGTTTAACATATACAGCACATTTTCAGCTATATGTCATCACCTTTGCTTTCATCTCTGTAAAGGGACAACAGAGTCAAATCCTTCATATTCTAGTGGGACAATTTGCAGTTCTCTGCAATCAATTACTTTCTTACAGTTCTTGCCAGAACAGTTTTGTAATTTTTACAAGCCCTAAACTAGAAAAAACATGGATGGCAGTGGATCATGCCAGGTCCTTAATTCCCCTTTAGTCTTGTTCCTAAGGAGGGAGCTCTTGTTGCACGTTCCCTTCTTTTCAGGCTTACTGCTAAAGCTTTTATGTTTCAAATGGTTTGGAGTTCTACTCTTAGTCATTTCGTATTCTAGATTGTAAGTGGAAATTTGCATTGCTTACCTCTGCATCCTTTCTTTGCCACTATGGATTAAATTTAATTTTCTTTAAGGTTTGGATGCATCCTGCCTAATTCCACGTAATTGAAGGGAGTGACTACAGTACAGCTATGCTTCTAGAGTCCCCGGGCTGTTAACGGTGATTGGTAATGTACTCTAGGAGTGTTCTCATCCTGAAGTATATATACAATCAACCATAAAATCCACTGGCTATACTGACTATGTCTCCTCTGATTAGACAGAACACAGGTCTAAGTCAGGCAAGTCCATTGCAGATATCTAAAGCTGGATACAATATTCATCTTACATTAAAGGAGTATTTTAATTTCATTTAATCAGGTGTAGAACTACATTTACAAATCACATTAGACAGCAAATAACCTGCACAATATGGAATATCTTTTTCTACACCATGGTTATAGAAGTGTTAGTTCTTAGCCTTCTTACATATGCATTAAATTGTTAACTAAGATCACTTTAAAAGTACTGCAAAATTAAAACTTACATGCACATTCCCACTTTGGACAGCATTTGTCCCCATTCATTTGAGTAGCAAATCCTAAAACTCCACAGCTGGGTTGAGTTGCATTGTATGGGCAGTTCTGCGACTTATTGACTTGGATCAGTTGTCCATCCAAGCAAATGTATTTTATGCACTCATTCTCTGTGATTGGCTAAGGCACATTTAAAAGACATTGGTTACCATTCTTATCAAGCTAACATTACAATGTTGCAGAGTATTTGCTCAAAAGGGGGCTCACATTCTTCAGGTACAGAATACTTATGGTGGAAGATTTAAGTGAAACGCATCTTTGAAAATTTGACCATTCTGAGGACAGTTTAAAATTCAGTCCTGTTGTAAATTGCAGAACAGATATATATATTTTTTTTTAACTTTAAAATAAAATGAGGAAGAAAAATGAGAAGTAGGAAGAGTAGGATCTGTGGGAAGGAAGGCTACATGACAGAAAAATATTGAAGAACATAAAGAACCATATTTTGCCAAAAATATTCTTGTAATAATCATACTCAGAAAACTGTTGCCCAAAACATAGTGCATTATAGCACTTATGAAAATCATGCACAATTGAAGTCACCCAGACTTAAAGATATAACTGTAAAAATAATAGCTTGCCCTGTTTAATGCCGATATTTCATATCCTAAAGATCAATACATGTCTCACAAATAATGATTTTATCAGTGTGTAAAAGTAAGCCAGATATATTCAAAACCAAACAGATAAACATGTATAATATTACTCACTGTACAAGTCTGGAGAGTTGCTGTTTCTCTAGGCAGAACAGAAGTTGATGTTGTGACTCCTAACATGGCTTCAGCTGTTGACAATCCATCAGAAAATGTTGTAGTCAAACCATAAAGTGGTTTGGTAGATAAATAGGCAAATGAGGAAACTGATGGAGCTGTTGTGACATTTGAATGGTCAGGTATCATTAATAGTGAACTCACAGAAGGTGTTTGTATCTCAGATGTTATTCCAAGTTTTGAAGTTTGTGTAGTACTGGCCAATGATGCAGGTATAGAAGAAGGTTTCGGTTCAGAGGATGAATGTATGGTGAACAGTCCTGACACACTTACATTAGAAGGAGCTGCAGTTATGTTTGTGAAATATGGAGAATAAAACGTCCGAGGTATTTCTGAGGTAATGGTAACACCTTGAGTATGGACAGGTTGCATTTCTGTCATTAATTCCAGCTCTCCAGATTTTTCTGTAGCAGGGGACATAGGCTCTTTTGCTTTTGAAGTAACAGAAAAATAGGATGGCTTCACAGAGGTTGTGATAGATTCTGTTACAGCTTTTGCTTTGTCTGAGGTTGCTGATATAATAGTGATGTTTTGCTCTGTACTGCTCATCACTGAAGAGGCTGAAGCTGCAGCTGATGTATGGACTGCAGCTGAAAACTCTGTACTTCCTAGAGAAGTGGAACTGTAGGCAGTGGTTGAATGTGTGACTTGCTTTGGTAACACTGCAGTTTTCTCTGTAGCACTTTTACCCATTGATGTGGATGCTGTTGAAATCACAGGGGTGAAAAAGGCACCTACGGATGACTCACTGCCCATCACGATGGGAATTTCTGTTGTTTCTGGTAACAAAAGTGAAGAGGTCAGAATTTCTGGTGAAACTGTTGTTGTTTCAGGCGTTTGACTTGAAAGAAGTGATTCAGTAACTGAGGACTGCCACGTGAATTTTACACCAGTATCTGCCTTCTGTGTAGAAAATGAAGGAAAGGCATCTTTTTTAATGGTTGAAGAGGAAGTTGCAAGCACTTCTGGTGAAGAAGGGAGAATTCTAGTACCAAAAGTCAAGTCAGCTGTTTTTCTATCTGGGCCTGTAGACTGTAAAACAGAAGTTTTTGGCATATACAGCTGTGTAACTGAATCAGTTAAATGTAACTCTTTTTCAGTTTGTAAAATAACTTGTGTAGGACCTAATGAGGTAGATAACACACTTGAATGAATGCCTTTAGGTAGGAAGGTGGTTAAGGGGGGTGAGGAAGTCAATTCTACCATAGCTTCAGTTGTGCTTAATAGAATTTGTGGCTGATCAGTGGATTTTGCTAGAGTTTCTGCAGGATGATGGTAAATTGGAGTACTGCTTAGGCCTGTCAAGGAAGGCTTAGAAGTCTGATGAGCAAGTTTTGTATCTGTTTCAGTCAAAAAATGCAGTATAGCCACAGCCTTAGTAGTCTGTGCTGGAAGTTTATCTTCTGAAGATGTTTGTTGAGGGAAGGAGCCCACTGAAGATGGAGTAAAGGATTTCTGAGCTGTAGAAGCAGTAGATTTTACTGTATCTATTATACTTTTGACTGTAGACTTCAATGCCGTAGAAATTACTTTAGTTTCTACAGGGTATTTTGGTGGGGTTGTTACTTCCAGAATTACTTGTGTTAAAGAAGGTGAAGAAACTGATTTATCTGCTAGATACTGAGAGGTGGAGAAAGTGTGAGACTTTGTTAATGGAAGTACAGCAGAAGTGGATAGAGTTGATTTTTCTTTGTCTGTTATTGCTTTGGTTGTTATATGCTGAGTGCTGAATTCAGAGGATGGAGAGAATATAGCATAAGTGGTATTTAAAATGGCTCTGCCTGGCAATTTGTCATATGGTACTGTTGTTATTGGACTTGAATGCTCTGCTATAGTGGATAAAGTAGAGAAAGTCAGGAGTGAGGAAGTCTTTTCTGTTCCTAACTTAGATTTTGTTATAGTTGTTCTTGGATATGAAGAGATGGGTTCATGGGATGTTGTACGTATTGGACTGAGAGCTGTCAGTGATGCTTCTTTTCCGTATGTGGGTAGTGAAGGAAGAGAAAGATTTAAAGAGATTAGAGAGCTTGGTGGTGAAGAAGGGAAAGCAGATGGTTTTCTAGGGGAGATGCTAGAAATTCTTTCCACTTCTGATTCTTCAGGCTGTGTGGTTAACAATGTGGTTTCAGTTGCTCTAAGGGGAGTACGTGGAGATCCAGTGAAGGACGTTGTTTCATCTGACTCTCTTTTTGTAGCTATGAAAGCAACCGTAGTGGTTTCTTTTGATGAGATAAAGGTTTTCTTTGCTGATGTGGTAACATTACCTGAATATGATGAAGTGCTTGTCTTCACTGTACTTAAAGCCAAAGGTGATGTGTATTCAGTAAATGTTTTTCCAGAAAACAAAGTTGATTTTGCTACTAATTCAAAAGGCGATGTTATTTTGGATGTTACCTCAATAGACAATGGTGTCACTCTGGTAGTCTCAGGCAAAGCAGGATATTTAGTGTACAGTGTAGTCAAGAGCTCTGTTATGTTTAGAACTATGTGTGAGGGATACCCTGTTGTTGACACAGTTTTAAATGTTTTTTTTAATTCACCTAAAGCTGGAGAAGCAGGAGTAGGAACAGACACTGAAGGTCCTTTTGGAGAAAGAGTGGTGGATTTTTCAGTTTTAGAACTAGGACGCAGTGAATATGGAGGCAAATAGGAACTAGATATATGCTTCACACGAGATGCTGTTTTGAGAGTTTCCTTTCCATGAGTTGTAAATGGTAAAACAGTTGTTTCTAATGATTTCTCTGGAGTTTGCAGAGTTGTTTTCTTTGGACCTAAGGTTGTAGTGAAAGGTACCCCTGCAGTATCTGTCAGGTGATGAACCATTTCAATAGGAGGTTTTGTAATTGCCTCTCCTAATGAAACAGGCAGTGTGGATGTTGGCAAAAATACAGTCTTTCCACTTTGTTCTGTTGAAGCATTTGCTGTTTTGGTTGTTTCTGAAGATGCTGGTTTTAGCAAAGACAGAGTAGTGATTACAGGAGAAAATGATGTTACTGTAACTTTACCTACTGTGGTAGAAGACTGTCCTATGCTTACTTCTGTCCTTTCTGAAGTTCCTGTTAGGTTCACTGATGATATATAGGAAGGCAAAACCAGAAGAGGTAATGTGGAATATCGGGGCTGATGTGCAGTAGTTTTTTCTGTTCTTGAGTCAAATGAAGGGGGTATAAATGTTGTCAGCCCTTCTGTTTTTACTTGTGCTTCTTTTGTGGGAAGTGTCTTCATGGCTATTTCTGATATTTCCATTATTTTAGTTTTGACCGGCAATTCTGTTGTTCTAAGTGTTGTTGGTGTCCCAGTAAAAGTAGAAATTGGTTTGCCTTCTGATCCTGTGCTTTTAGTCACTGCACGTGTAGCAGTTACTGTGTAAGGTTCTGTAGTCCTCAATAGCTTCGTGGAACCACTGCTGATCAGTTGTGTCTTTGTGGAGGTTTCTGAAGTGGCAACAAGAGAAGACAAGCTTACATTAGATTTTGCTGTCACAGACATTCCTGTAGTTCTCCCAAATGATGTCATTTCTGCTGACTGTGAAGAAATATATGATGATAAAGTTATGTCTGGAAGCGTTGTATTAGTTGTTACAGCTGAAAATTTAGTTTTCCCTGTAGTTGCAGTGAATTTCAATTTTGAAGCAAGTGTTGTTTCTATGTCCTTTGCTTCAGGTACAGGAAATGAAGTTACCACTTCACTGATCACTGCCGAAGTTGTACTTGATGTTACGTGTGAAACTGCTGGTGTTTCAAAGATGGTTGGTAAAGGTGGACTATCATCTGCAGGTTCAATGCCTGAAATAAGACACAAATAAATGACAGTCTGGTATTTACAAATAAATTACAGACAAAGCTAGCGGAGCTAGAAGGAGTTTACATTAATTCATTTAGCTCTGATTTTTTCACATGCCTTTATACTTCTAAACTTCATAAAACTCAAAAATAAGTTAATTCAGTCATTTTCTCCACATCTAATATTACTGAAATGTTTTATGAAGAAAGAACATTTTTCTTATTTTAAAAGTACTCCAGTTTTTGAGGAGTGAAACTCTTTCTAAACTAAACTAAACTAGATGTTCAGTGAAAACTCAAACATTGTTGTGGTGGTTTTACCATGCTGGGCAGCTAAACCCCACAACCGCTCTCTCACTCCCGTCCTTTAGATGAGGAGGGGGAGAAGTAAAGCAAAGAACAACTCACGGGTTGAGATAAGGATAATTTAATTAAAGGGAAATAATAATAATAATTAAATAAAGATTATTATGAACTAAACAATTTAACTAAGGGGAAATAAAAAGGGAAAGGGGAAAAGGGAGGGGAAAAGGGAAAAAAAAAAAGAAGGGAGGAAAACAAACAAATAAAATAAATGAAGGCTATATGGAAGTGCAGAGGAAAGAAATTACTCTCTACTTCCCACAAATGAGCGATGATTGACCACGTCCTTGAAGCAAGACCTCAACGCACGTAGCCAGACCCAGTACAATTGTGTAACTAAGATCATAATTACACAAATTTAAACACCCTTATTTGAAAATTGAGAAAAACATAACCTCGGACATTAATAAGCTAAACATCATACATAATATATATATATATATATATATATTCAAACATACAGTCTTCAAAATACACGCATCTTTGAGTGATTTCATCCAGCAACATATTGAGAGGACACACAGGGATGCATCCTTCCACTCTAGAAAAAAAACAATCATTATTAACTAGTTGAAGAGTATCGTCAACTATCAAGCATTTAATTTTATGCAAACACTATTAATTTATAAAGTAGTTTTGAGTAGAGAGCCTTGTTCTATCTAAATCTCATCATCTCAGTGTACTCCTTCAAAACATCATTGCTTACATTCCATGGCTTACATTCTCACATAGACCTAAGCTAAAGCATGAACTCAGTGATATTCAGCCTGAATGTTCACAGGTTCAACGGTAACTATTGTCACCTAAGAAATGCCAAAGCTTTTTTGCACACCAAAATCTACATGCCACTTTTGCAAAACTTAGTACAAATTAGTAAAACAGAAAAGAAAAATGCCAGGACAGACACAGTTGTTGAAATGCCGTAATTGAGTGTGGTGAGGCACTGGAACAGGTTGCCCAGAGAAGCTGTGAAACACAACTGGCCCAGGAAGTTTTCAAGGCTAGGTTGGATGGGGCTTTGGGCAACCTGATCTAGAGCAAGGCATCCCTGCCCATAACAAGGGGGTTGGAACGAGATGATCTTTAAGGCTCCTTCCAACCAAACCATTCTAAGACTCTATTATAACGAAAACACAGGGGTACAACTATCTGAAACAACATTAACAGCATTTCTTTTTACTAATACACTGTAATACCCTCCATCATGAAAGCTACAAATATACTTGTAATTCCAAACTCTGGCAATACTCATCTAACAACTGCTGTCTAGAGACGTCATTTTCATGCAGCTGCCACAGCAATTTTTATTTCACTTCTTTTCTTCTTCATTCATCTCCTTCCACATGAATACAGATCTGCTGTACTAAGCCTACATCTGGTCACTCATATGCTTATTATGCTCTTTATTACACAAATTACATAATTTTCTACTTGCAAAAACTTACTTTGGTACTGCCTGACAGTTTTGTCCCAAAGGATCCCTGCATGTTTTGAAACAAGGACTTGCACAGGCATCATAATGCCATTCACATGCAGAACGTGATATAAGTTTGTATTTGGCATCTGAAAAACAACCAAGATCTGTTAATCTCATATATATTTCTACAAACACACACACATATATATATCACTAAGAAGCACAGCTAGTTCACTGCCGCTCTAAAACTTCTACTGTTTCTACCTGTATTCCCTACAAATAAAACTGTTAATATTTTTTGACTGTTTAGGTCTTTGTGAAACATAGAGAAACAGTATATTGCAGAGTACTGGCTCTGCAACCTGTATTGCACTTTGCAGTATAAAACATGCCATGTTTACTGCATTTACAATCACTTGAAAATAAAGCCACGTAAGTCAGAGCTGTTGTTTTAAAAAGCTTTTGAAAAGCATGACAACAATGAATCTTGTGGTTATTCAATTAAAATGCAAAAACAGGATAAAGATTCAGTACAATTCTTGCTGTTACGATCAAAAGAAAAAGCACCAGTTGGAAACACTGATATAATTTATAACACAGTGTATCATAACTGTGGTTTGCCTGGTGTTAAAATTAGCTGAGATAGGTGTACTAACTGTTATGATACAATTGCATTTTAAAAGCTAAAATGAACACAAATAACCAAAGTAAATAATCTGGTATTAGGCCAATTTAGTCTCTTTACAACAATGCATCTTAACAGTTGATCTTCTCAGAAGCACTTTAAGATAGGCATTCCAAGAGAATAATTGAAACCTAAACCATTTTGAACCCGAAATTCTAACTGGTGGTCAAAGCAACTGAGAAATGATCATATTTTGTCTTGGAAATTTTAACTGAAAATATATATTTCAGCAAACAAAATGCTGTCAAAAAATAAAACACACAATGACAAACTGAAACCCAACAAAACCAACCAACAAACCCACCCACTCCCCCGTCCAGCCAACTTGCCTTCAGAAAATCTATGTAGATAATGTTTATTGAAATGCTTCAAATCTGGATAATTGAAACCCAAAGTACAAATACAGGTAAAGGAAGAGTTAAAATTCAGAGTGAAAATAAACATAAGTAAGGATCAGTTATACAATACTTATTAAATTATGCAATGACTTTACAGAATGAATGTAAAGATGACAAATCAATGGACTCAGTCATAGACTGAATATAAAACCTCAGAGAAACAAAGTTTCGGCAATCATACGCGTGGCATACATGGGGGCATACACTTGCATGTTCAAATGCATTACATGCTTTCCTTTTCACTATATCTCTGTCCCATCTGCATGCAGAATGGTTTCCCATATCAATGCTGGATGTACTCCAGTGGCTCTTCCAAGTCTGTGTGACTTATGCAATCCATCTGGATTTTGGTACCTGAACTACAACAGCCCACCTCAGCTCCTTCCTGTAGCAGCCAGGGTAGGGCATTGGCACTTTCCTTACATCTATACCTAAAGAAAAACACCACCATGACATATTTGTCCCCTCTAGAATGCTAAAAGTGGTCTGAAACCTATGTGGTTCAGAGCCTGTGAACAATAGCTGCACTTGAACAATATTTATATTAATGACCAGAAAGAGAATGCTTACTGCTTAGAAGGACTTTCCATTTTGGGTCTTTGTAAATCTTTTGGCTTTTAAGTTTTGCTGATCTTTACTGATACACAGAGACTAGTTCTTTTACACCTTCCTTGCGACACTCATCTTTCCTGGAAAATCCTAAGAAAACATCTTTCCTGCAATTTAGCAGCATCTGCACTTATGGTTAGTTACTCCTCTGCAATTATTAACCATAAATGTCTTCCTTTTTAGTACAAATAATTATCTTAAATCAAAGGTATAAATCAAACTCAGACACCCACACCCTTATTAAAGTAAGAGTGTGTATGTTGCCATCTAGTGTTTTAACACTTTTAACATTTTGTCCTACACAGGGACACGGGTGCTGCTTTCAAAAACATGACTCTTAATGACAATAACAAATGTATTTACAAAGTTACTATCCTATACAGAAATGAGAACACTTCCTGAATTAATCTGTTAACCTTCTTGTGAAACTGACTTAAATTATGTAAATCTAATGGAGGAAAGGAATTATTTCCATACATTTTGGAATGTCTGAATGACTGATGCATCAGGTTTTGCATTCACTGACAGGTCAGAGTAAAAAGGTTTAAGGACAAATTATATATGACAAAAAGAACACATCTGAGACCCACTGGAACAAGCATTCACTACCCATAGTAACAACCAGCTATCACACTATATTCTAGCACAGTCTAGGAAATCTCATTCATCAGACTACCTTAGACTAGGTATGGAGACAGATCCATGACTTTTAACTCAACAGTAATCATAACAGAAGTTTCAAACACAATAAAGGCACAAGCTTGGTAGAACACATCTGACAACCTGATGATGAATGCCAGTTTCTCAATTTAGCAGAACAATGATCTTGAATTAACACTTGTAAATGCTGAGCTTAACATCTTTTCTCTCATTCTTTATATGAACTTCATCTTTTATGAAGCGATTGCCCCATTTCCCTCAAGCATTCCTAGAGCTTACATTCAAAGAGTTTGCAGGCATTGCATGCCTTGATAGGAAATAGTGGGGAGCTTGTACATAAAGGCATATAGCATTTGCTGAGTGCAACGTGAACATCAATTTCCATAATGAACTAACAAAATCATGCTTTTCTGCAAAATTTCTCCCTGATTCTGCAGAACAAAGGACAGACAATAGATGAATCCATGAACCTTGTCATAAAAATGATTTTCAAAGGAGAGCTGTAGAACCAATGGGTGCTTAATTTTCTAGTCAATGGATGTGAAGGTACTCAACATGCCATACAAAGCTCTATTCATTTTTTGTAATGTGTAAATTGTATACAAGAACAGACCATATCACCACAGCAAGAGCTGAATATATTCCATGAATTGGTTTCCAGTATCTCCAAAGTTTTCAGTACATCTCAAGTAAACCCATCAGATAAAGTGAAATACATGCCTTATGAATTATGGGAAAATGCTTCTACATCATTAGACAATTTTCAGCTCATATTGATTTAATTTTATTCTTTGTATTTTAACTTTTCATTATTGACAACATCACTTCTGGAATGCCTATGCAGCTCAAGGACCTACCTGACTGTGCTAGCCACCATGATAAACACACAGCAAGATGCAGTTCCTGCTTACAAAGTTTATGCTAAATAGAGATAAGGCAGAAAATGAATGTGAGATAAAACAGGCAGTCTTGTTCTAAATTACAATGAATTCAAGACTAAGCCAAGAGAATAATAAAGTATCCTTAAATCAAGGTAACGTAATAGATATTTTTGCCTCTTTTCACTACCTTTATACATAAACTATGACCCTAATACTCAGAGTCACTGGGGTAAAAGGAAAAGTAGCAACAATGAGCTCTACAGCCATTTAAAGTACCTCTTCCTAAACTGAGGGTAATACTCCTTTCACTCTCTGTATTGATTTTAGATATTAAATTTTATGCCGGAACTCGAGCACTGCTCTTCCCATCACAGAAAATACCATTGCTCAGAAACTGGAATTCACCAGCACAGGGCATGAATGCTTTATACTATTCGGGAGGCTAATCAGCCACCTCCACTACATGCTTCCCATTTTTTTAATAGTTAAATTCCCCCAATCAGCAAGCAGTAACATGAGCTTTCTGTACTCTGTGCAACAGTACCGTTCACTCACAACAAAAGAATGATACGCAGTTTACAGACAATGAGTCAAGATTCTTGTATCAGACGTGTTTTCCTCAAAAGGATTTGCTATGGCATTTGAAGATAACCACGTACCTCCTGGTGAAGTCTCTCAGCATTTGTCTTCTATTTGGTGACAGAGCAAATCCTTAACAAAATGATGAAGTATGCCCTGGATGGCAGTCGTTCCTGTCAACATGCCAGCTGAGCCCACATTTATAGAATCACAGAAACACAGCATGATTTGGGTTGGAAGGGACCTTAAAGCTCACACGGTTCCAACCCCCTGCCATGGGCAGGGTCACTTCCCACCAGACCAGGTTGCTCGAAGCCCCATCCAGCCTGGCCTTGAACACCTCCAGGATGGGGCATCTGCAGCTTCTCTGGGCAACCTGTTCACCTCAGCACCCTCAGAATAAAAAATTCCTTCCAAATACCTAATCTAAACCTACCCTCTTTTAGTTTAAAACCATTCTTCTTGTCCTCTTATTCCCTGACAAAGAGTGCCTCCCCAGCTTCCCTGTAGGCCCCATATAATGTCTCACCCAAGCCTTTTCTTCTCCAGGCTGAACAATGCCAACTCCCTCAGCCTGTCTTTATAGAAGAGATGCTCCAGCGATCTGATCATCATTGTGGCCTTCCTCTTGATGTGTTCTGTTATTTCCACATCCTTCTTGTGCTGGGGGCCCCAGAACTGAAGGCAGGGCTCCAAGTGGGGTCTCACAACAGCAGAGCAGAGGGGGAGAATCCCCTCTCTTGTTCTGCTGGCCACACTTTTGGCTCATGTCATCATCATTTTTTTTCATCATCAATTTATTCTCATCGTTTGTTACTCTTTCATTTATTATTCTAATAATTTATTTAATGGCTTTAAACTAAAAAAGGGTGGATTTAGACTGGATATTCAGAAGAAATTCTTTACTCTGAGGGTGCTGAGGCAGTGGAACAGGTTGCCAGAGAAACTGTGGATGCCCCATCCCTGGTAGTGTTCAAGGCCAGATTGGATGGGGCTTAGAGAGACCATTTTTGGTCTAGTGGGATATGTCCCTGCCTGCAGTAGGCTGGTTGGAATGAGATGATCTTTAAAGTCCCTTCCAAACCAAAACATTCTATGATCCTATTTTACCTAACAGGAGCTGAGCATAAAAATGGTTATGGTACTGTAGAAAGCTTTTGTATGAATGTGCCTATACACTTTGCCAACCCCATATGTATTTCTCTCACATGCTTGGACTTCAGAGAAGCATTTATGATCTTCATTTTCTGTGGCTTTCAAATTTAATTCTGTGGTAATAAGAACAGCCAGTACTGTAGTAGAACTACTAGTGTAATCCAATGAAGAGTTTTAATTTTATTTTTTACCACTGACAGATTGTGGTGTTCTGTTGAGTCACAATTACCTTTCTTAGTACCTTGGCCACTCTGTGTGTGTGTGTGTGTATTGACAATACCTACGGGTCACAAGTCCATCCTGCCATTTTTTATATTGACTTCTACCCCACAAGAATAACATTTGCCATTGTCAGAATAATTTCTTGCCATGTTCAAAAAAATCTATTTACTTGAAAAGAAAAAAAATATGTTTAATTATACTGACTTCAACAGAAGGTTGTATTTAAAATAAAGGTTAAGACTATGAAAAAAGGTATTTAAACTCTCCTTCTCATCTTGTACCTTTTTATTTTGTTACTTTCCCCAGAGATTTAAAATAATTTAGAAGGAAGAAAAAAATTCTTTAGAATTCACTCTATTTATAACAGCAGCAAAACTCTGCTTAGTAACTCAGATTGCCTATCTCCTCAGTTACAAGTTTAGTAACATGAAATACTATCTACCCACTTAACACGTACAAACTACCAACAAACTCTGCCCATGACTTTCAAGTTTCTGCAATGAGAAATGTAAGCAAGTATCACTGAAAAGAATGAACTTTGTGCCTAGCCAAAACATAACTGAAAGCAAAATATAATTGTCTACCTTTCAAATACTTTAGCTTTATCTTACTATTATGCTGGTGGATGAATATAATCCTGTTAACGTAACTATCTAATCTCCTCCTATTTATTCACTCAAAAGCAGGAGGTCAAACATTTGTCTTTGTGGTATAAATGGGAAAGATGTTATAATTCTCCAGGAACCTCAGTTTAATTCCAAGAGCTACTCAGCAGATGTGTTTAGGGACATACTCGGAATTTGCAGGTAGAACAGTAGGTGCTCAGCATTATCCAGTCCCAAGCCCTAGGTCATGATCTCTGGGACTGGCAAAGCATACAAGCTCAATTTAAACTTAAGAGCAATTCAGCGTAAGTAAAACAGGGCATTAAAAAAATAAATAAATCTATTGATGGAAATGGGTATGAGTAAACAGAAGGTAACTAGTCAACTACATCATGTATAAATCTGACTAAAGATGTAAGAGAATTTTGTAAAAAATAAATAAATAAATAAATTTAATTTTCAGTTTTGTACCGTGCTTCTGTACCGTATTATATCTGTATAAGATATAAACGCTGAGAACAAGCAAAATGCCCTGTATCAAACATTGATAAATACCTCTGTGTGCAGTGTGCATGTATCTACTGCATCTTGAGATTTTATCTGAAAATTCTCTGAGACAGCCGTTACATTTAAAGCAAGTTAGTTTTTTAAGCACATAGCTAACCTTATTAAGAACTTCACCACAGGATTTACATAGTGCAAGTTACTTACACTTTTATAGTATATATAATATTAACCCACAGTGATATTAAAAGAGTAACGCATCTTATGATAATTCTGTGAATGGTAAAGTCAACCAGCTTGAGAACATGATTTATTTTTTTTTTTTAAAAAAAAAAAGGAAGCCGTATCTATATCCATAAAAAAGATCAATTCCTGACTTCCTCTAATTTCTCAATAATTTCAAATGTGAATTTGAAACTTGACATCTCTGTCTCTGCTGTTCTGGTCAGACTAAGTGTATTCTTTCAACTGAATGCATAACAAAATAACCTACTGGCAAGTAAAATTTCCTGCAAAGAATGTAAAATCTATTTTCTTGTGACTACAAATATTTATACTCAAATTCAGTTATCAACTCAAACGCCCAAATGTTTGTGGGAACAGGAGAGCAAACAAATCTAACTATAATGAAACAACTCAATTTAAAAACTGAGGTGACTATTCATGGAAATACTTCACAGTATTAGCCCATCCTATCTGTGTAATTTATAGTCAACGTATTTGAATGTGACAATATTTATTGCTATGAAACTGGAAAAAGTGACTCGTCAGCTGACTTTAAACAACCACGTATCTATTGCTGTGGTGATCAGGTCATTTAAAATTCTTCCTTTTGAATGTGCGTCACAGAGTATGAAGAAGTCTCATGAGGAACTTTCTGGCCAAGGGGATTTACTGGGCCTATTATTCTGCTCCCGATATTTATCCTCTGATTCCGCAGGAATAGCTGTTCCCGGTTCAAGAGTTTCTGATCTAATATGCAAAGCATTTACAACAGTCAGCAGGAAATCCAATATGCTTTTGCCTGTGCTCTCTGGAGCTGGTGTAACTTTTCCATTAACTTAAACAAATGCTGCTGTATTTTTAGACCGTGTAATTACCCTACATCAGCAGGCTGGGCCTTGTGAAAGTACACTGGAGAAAGATTCGAGCCCTGTGTTTCTCTGCTTATAAAACTCTGAAACCCAAGCCCTCGGATGTGGTGATTAATGAAATGCCTCTAGATCATTTGATCTGATCCCACTTGCTGAGGTAAATTGTTTTAGTTTTCCATTGGCATAGATAGGATTTTTTGGTATAATGACTGGAAGGTAAAGACTTCACACTTGAAAAGACATACCACCCTGTGTTAATGGATGACCACTGAGAATTGGAACATGTTTTAACCTTCTTCATTCCTTCCTCAAAGATGAAAGACTAAGGAGATATTTTTGTTATGTCCAAAAAAAGTTCTTTGCCTGAAATGCTGTATGAACGCCCTGGTAACAGCATTAGCTCTGTAATTCTGCTGTTCAAAAACCTCAACAGCTCTGCAATTACAAGCATTTGTCAAGAGGCAACAGGCATTTGGCAATGACAAAATCTGTCATTTTTTCTGAAGTTGGAGTGTGCCAGTCAACAGCTGCATTAGGCTGTCATCATAATGCACCACAAAACATCAGCAGATTCACAATGCTACCATTAACGCTTTAATTCAATGTTTTGATAACAAGAAGCTCCACGAGGCATACAGTTGGCCTCTTCTGTCACAGAAGTCAACGCCTACTTCAGATTTGACTATGCCAAGAGATTCAAAATGGTCACTATAAAACATGGCCAGGCCATGCTTTGTTTGTTACAACAGCACATTTTCTTTCTTTTTGCTTGTAAAACAAAGTTTTGGTTTCAGAGAATGAAGAACTGGTTTATGAAAATTGTGTTACCAAGAATACCTATTAAAATATTTTTGCTACACCAGTAAATGAGTTACCGATATATTTAAATTTACAGCACAGTACAAAGCATTAGAACATAAAAATAATAAACTCTTATTGTGATTTGGGAATTTTATATAGTGCACAAAGGCCAGTAGGTTTCAGCAATTAGTAGTTGTCATTGAGGTTCATAAAAAAGTCACACAGATGCATTAGAAGCATCTTATATATTAAGACAACCTGATAATGCAATAAAGCAATAAATAAATCAATAACTAATAAAGCAAATGATAGTTTCATGAAAAATCTGCTTTCTTTTATTTTACAGTCCAATATAACTTCTTGTATCTCATTCCTGATCTGTAAGGCCATCTTCATTTCAGCACATGGCTCTCGAGTACGTGAAAAGACTTATTTCCTGTTGTGAAAAGACTTATTTCCCATTTTTTTTGTTTGTTTGTTTGTTTGTTTACCAATCTAAATGAGACAGAGTTTGATTAATTGCGGAGTTATTAATGCATGGCATTTGTCACCAGTTCTTATGGCAGCAGATTCTACATCCCACAAAGTGTTCTAAGAATGTTGCCAACATTTGTGTTCCTTACATCTCCATGGAACGTGACTACTGTTAGGGAACAGGAATCTCTGAAGAAGGTAGAAACAGCCTCACAGCAGTCTACATTGCATATTCAGAAGCTGCAACTGTCCAAGAAACGTTAGAGAAAAAGACATCTGGATCCCCAAAAACAGGCATATATCACCACTTACGTGGCACCTGAAACAGTAGGGGATAACATCACGGAAGGCACAGCCTCTGTGAGTTGGTACATGGATAAGGTCAGGGTGTTTTTCAGGTGAAATAAGATTTGAGAGGTGTAATCTACAGGCATGTCCTTAGCACGACTTATGAGGCCACAAAGTTTACGATGAGAATGTACAGAAAACACAATCAGAAGGAAGGGAAGAGAAAACATCCACAGACCTTAACGTAGAAACACACATTCTTTTTTTTTTTTTTTTCTATTCCCTTTGTGAATCCATTATTCATCAGCATGAATTTTCTATTCCTTGAGAATTTCCTCACAACCCATAAAGCAAATATTGCACAGAAACTTTGCTATAGTCTATGCATTTCCAAAACCAGTTGGCAAATACAGTGAAGTTGTGTGGGTATTTAATGACTTGTGACAAGAAAACCGAATCTCTTCCTTACTACAAAGCTCAAAGAAGATTTTGAGCCTGTCACAAACAAATTATCCGCAGCTTCCAGTGATGCTGGGGAGAAGTAAGATATATAGTCACCTCTGAAAATATCATTAAGAGTTAGCTTATATTTCCATGGGGAACAAAGTGATGTTCATAAAATACAACTTTAATTACCTACCTACTAGTTTAAAAAGGATTGATAGTCTGAATTCCTCTGAATGATGGTACTTCAGAAGCTCAACTGAAGATGCAGAAATGTGGATGAAGTATCCTGGTTTTGCAAATGATTCAAAGGAACTGTAACCAGAAAGCCATGTATTCTTGTGTATAACAAATGTCGATTTGTTGTGAAACTCTTCGATTTTTTTCCCATTTAGAAAGAACAAGGGTATTGTTGGAGGACAACTGAAGAAAATAATTAGGTCTCTCAGCTGTTTCAAATGAAACCAAGTTGGAATCTGAAAAAAAAAAAAGACACACAGAAGTCATTTATGTGCCATAATAAACTAAAGTCACTCTGATGTAACATACTGCTATCAGTAGCATGGGCAATGAAAACTGGCAATGGCCTTATCAATGAAAATGCCCTGAATCTTTTAAGAAAATATAATGATATATGGATTTTAGAGTCCTAGATTCTGACGAACACTTGTGTTTGTTTTTTTTTTTATTAGGACATTTGCCTACACCAGGACAAAGGAATATAGCCTAGCAGTCAATTAGAACTTCAGTTTACAGCCTTTGCTAACCATTTATTTAATAAAAATGTAAACTTCACCTCATTAGCTTTGCAAGTTATGCTTGCTGTCAGGAATTGATAGCTCAAGAGCTCAGCTTTTCATTAAAAATAAATTATGAAAATGTATTTTGCATTCAGCTTACAGATTTATGTATTCATTTCTAAGCAGTCAGCTCTCCAGCCCTTCCCCAAGAAGGTTTACAGCAAAGCCTGTTTTCTGGCAAATGTATCCACATGATACCTTACCCTTAAAACAGTACTGCTGATTTCAAGCAAGCCCCTGTACGATCAATTGCAGAGTGGCAGATTTTGAGCCTGTTACAGGCATCTGTTTCTTACAAAATTACTTCATTCTGTTCTGCTGTAAACTCTTCTATTCTGTTGAAAAAAGCCATTAAACTACTGTAAAATCAACTAACCCTCCAGACCTGGATAGCATTTCTTGGGGAGAAAAAAAAAAAAAAAAAAAAAAGCACAGAAAACAAATGATCTCTATTAAACAGATCCAGTGGTTTTTTTTTGGTTGGTTGGTTGGTTTTTTTTTGTTGTGTTTTTTTTTGTTTGTTTGTTTGTTTTTATAACATGTATGAAAGATCAGCTTGGTTTTTGAGCATAAAAAATTTGACTTATTTGAAAAACTTAGTTGCACTTGCATCTTTTTAATAACTGCCTGTAGCAAGTAGCTATTTGTTCAATAATGACAGACACTCAGTATGATTTATAATACCTGCCATACAGCCAATCAATTTCAAGATCCAAAATTTTCAGTGGCTATGATTTATCTGAAACTGATGAAACATATCCATTTTTCTGAGGTAGTGAAGAACCAACAAAGACACATAAATGAAGACATGGATATGAAAAATACAGCACTGATTTTATAAACTCTTCCATGGCCAAATGATGAAACACTATTCTCTTAAATTGAACTATAAGGCACCAATTCCACTTGCCAGGTTCAATTTTATACAGGAACAGTAGGACTGACCCTCCCTTTCCAAACCCAAAATGAATGCAATGTACAAGTCTCAAAGCTATGATTAATAAAAGCAATATGGCCCTGGATATTCTGTTACATGAGCTCTTGTGTCAGTTCTATAGACAACAGTTAAATGCTTCTCAGTTTTTCACTGACCCTTACCCCTTGTTTTTGATTACACAAAGACAGCAACCTTCAGGCTGTCCAAAGACATGATCAGAAGACTATAAGCAGTAAAATTATATTGAGGCTTCAGTGCTCTGTGAGCAGTAAAATTGAGTGTGCAGACAACTATAGCATTTAATCAATGTCACAAAGTGCTGAATATATTCTTGTAAGTCTTCTCAACCTGTCTAAAGGTGTGCAAGACCTATTTCATCTGCTGAATTAACAACAGATTCCTTCACCGGGAAACTTAATTCAGGACAGGAAGACACATTCACAGCACACAACTTCAGCTCAAGTTGAAGCCAATGGTCATCTCTGTACAAGACAATAAGTGATGGTGGCAGACTGAGTGAATTAGAGAATACTTTTCTTATATCATCTCTTTCCCATTCTTTTCCATGTCCCAGTTCTGCCTGAGGAAAGGTGGAAGGAGCAACACATATCTGAAGCACTGGGCTACAATACTGGTTTGGGGGCTTCTGAAGGTTGGGGTTAGAGAAGAATTGTTAGTTTTTCAACTAAAAGTATCTGTTTCTAAAGCTAACATCATGTAATTAAACCAGCTAAATCAAAACTTTTGCAGACAACATTAAGGTGCAGAATCAGCTGACATGAAGAGAAAAGATTTTTTGACCCAGGTCTGTAGTTAGACATAGGCTAGTATTCAAGGAGAGAATGTGCTCTGCCTTACTTAAGCCTCTACATTACAGGGACTTTACCATGTGATTTGGGTTTATAAAGTCCTGAAGTAAGCATAAAGCTCACTGCGTGTCCATCTTCTTGTCTCACAGGGAAAACAAAACCATCCACCAGTTTCACTGCCAGTACAAATTCCCCATCCAAGTAGCTGACCAGTTTGTATGGGCCCTTTCCCAGAGCTGTGGAGAAAAAAAAAAAAAAAAAAAAAAAAAAAAAGCCAGAATTACCTTTCATGCCCAATGTCACACATTCACACATGCTTGAGTTCTACATAACAATACAGCACACGAAGAGAAATACATCTCTCTGCTCTGAAAACTCTAGGTGCTATATACTAAACTGTAATGACAACCAAAACAAAGTTACACTCTTTTAGAAAATACCTGTTCTCAAAACTATCCAAATTACCTAGACACAGTACTGAAGAGCTGAAGACTCAAGACCTGAAGACTCAAGACTTTGAGACTCAAAACTTGAGACCTGAAGATTCAAGACTTCTCAAGACTCACCATTAGCTTCTCCTTTTTCTCCTTCTCATCCACTTTTCTAAGTTAACTGAGTCATCAGTAAATAGTGTTCTACAGACCATCCTGTGATGTAAATTTTTTACTTGTACGTCCCTATCAATTCTTACTATTATTTAAAACCAATTTTACTAGTGTCCACAGTGTGAGGCATTTTGCAGGAAATAGTTTGTTGCTGTCAAGTATCAAAGAACTCCTTGAACAAAAAGCTTGACATGAGTCAGCAGTGCGCGCTTGCAACCCAGAAGGCCAACTGCTGCCTGGGCTGCATCAAAAGAGGAGTGGCCAGCAGCTCAAGGGAAGCGTTTGTGCCCTCCACTCTGCTCTTGTGAGACTCCACTTGGAGTGGTGTGTCCAGGTCTGGAGGCCCCAGCACAGGAAGAATGTGGAGCTCTTGGAACGGGTCCAGAGGAGAGCCACTAAAATGGTGGCTGGAGCACCTCTCCTATGAAGAAAGGCTGAGAGAATTGGGGCTGTTCAGCCTAAAGACGAGAAGGCTCCGGGGTGACTTTATTGCAGTTTTTTAGTACTTAAAGGTGGCTTATAAAAAAGATGGTGAGCAACTTTTTACTCAATCAGATAATGACAGGACAAGGGAGAATGGTTTTAAACTAAAAGAGGGAAAATTTAGATTAGAGGTTAGGAGGAAACTCTTCACTCAAAGGGTGATGATGCACTGGAAAACAGCTGCCCAGAGAAGCTGCAGATGCCCATTCCCTGAAGATGTTCAAGGTCAGATTGGATGAGGTTCTGGGCAACCTGCAGGGTGGCATCCCTGCCTATGGTGGGGAGATGGAACTGGATAATCTTTAAGGTCCCTTCCAAGCCGAGCCATTCTATGATAACACTGGGAAGCATGACAGGAAGAAATCAGCATTGCAAGTAAAGGAAAGGGCAAATTTTACCTATAGGTAAAAAAGATAGAAGCATGTGAGGTTGTCATTTCACAAATCTCACAATGCCACACTCCTTCAGTTAGTTCCAAGTTCACAGTACTTTGAAATTATTTTTGTAAACTCCTCTGTTAAAAACAGGCATTTTAGACCACACTTGAGCAATTTATTGCACTACTGTTTTACCCACAAACCAGGAGATGGCAAGCATCCATCTAAGTTAGAAGTCTCCCAGAACTTCTCAGCTGATAGTTGCAGTTAATACCATTGATCCTCAAAATCTGTTCAAACAGGTTAAAACTATGAACTGAATTTTGCAGCTTGTTCTTGTATTCTGTCTCTCACTAATCTTAAAAGATACTAAGAGTTTTGAAATGCTAGGGAAGCTGCACGTGGTATGAACATGTGGCCCATGCACAGATAAACGTGTACAGTGATATTTGGTTACCTTTAGTGCAGGGAGCTGAAAAATATTTTTAAAAATACTTAAAACATATATTATTCTGGATATGTTAATATACATTTAAGTTTTAGATCTCTATTCCATTCAAACTTGAGAAAAAGCTATCAAACGAGAATTTCCCCTTACCAAAGACAAAAGCTCCTGCTTCTAGATTCATGAAAAAATGTTACAAAAAGTTACATTCAAAAAACCTCTGTCTAAAAGAGTTTCTTAACCTTCCTGTCTCCAAAACTAAGTAATTTTTGGCAATGCTACTGTATTTGAGGTAGAAAAGGAAATTTTTTAGCACAAGGATTTTTTCTTTTTCCACTGGCAGCTCTGGAACATCCTATGTTGAGTATTTATGAGCTGGATTAGCAAGCAGTGGGAAGATGAGATTAAATAAATATATATTAAGCATGTTTATTGCAAACTTTTCCAGTGTACAACCCTACCATATTCCAAGTAATTTGTCAGTGAGAAATCAGCAAAAAATAAAACTGATACCACACTTCAGAAGTTTATGTTACCATCCAGCTTCACTACTAACACACTGCTACTGCCACAGATGTTAGAGGCACTGCCATTTCCATCTGTTACAACTGCAAGATTACCTCATCTCAGGCTGTATTTCATTTATAAAACAAAACATAACAGAAATTTAAAACTGAAATCATTCTCCTATTCAACTGAACTTTATTTAAATTAATTTAACAGCTTAATTAGTGATTTAGCTAAAATTCCACTGCAATATCAACTTGAACCTACTCAAAATCTTTTCAACCAGTATATGTATCAGAAATGGTAGCTTCTTGGCCAGATAGCTTGGAGCTGATATGTCGCACAAGTCCTTCCTAACTTAGACTCAGTTCTTCTCCAAGATCTTTTTTGGCGTAAGCTGCTGCAATATGGAGTCTAATAGAAGACCAGAATATCCCGATAGACATGCTTCTATGTGAGCATGATAAAAAGAGTTATAGAATAAATAGCCGCAGTCCTGATCGTTCCTTATATCAGGCTGGCTTACAGTGCTTACATCTATGCCATGTCTAACAATGCAGACATCCTCAATATAACTTTAAAATAGTCTGCATAGAGATTCCAGTGCTACCACAGTAATACAGAAGCACAAACTGTATCCAGTACCAATTAACCACTGAAGCTTTACTCAAGAACTTTGTATCAGTTTTGCACCTTTCTCTGAGATCCATCATAATACACCAGCAATACTTGTTGCTCAGGAATTTAAAGCTAAGTCAGGCATACCAAAATAGATAGTTCAACATTTAGTCACAGAAAGTTGAATTATACTAATTACTAGCTCTCTCTGGTGGCTGCACACGGGATGACCATTCGTTTAACAGAAACAACAGGTATCAAGTTTTTGACTGCATTACTCCTTAAGCAAGGAGTGCCACTAGTACTATGGGGCTGAATATTCTATTAATTACTTAATTGTTACCCATAAACATATAGCAACTGAGATAAACAGACATGGGCCTACATTAAGAGGATCATTAAAAGCCTTTGGAAAAGCAAAATTTAAAAAAAAAATGGGTAAAATAGATTATTCGTTACTTTAATAATTTATCATTTGCAACTGTTTTCATCAACATAGTATTTTTAAACAAAATACTACGAGTAATATAAATAAACCAAAAATTCTATATTCTTATTATCAGCTCCTTTAGGACTTACCTTTGTTGAAATATTCACAATCATAAGCTAAAAAATAGAAAGAAAAGAAAGAACAGTTGCACACATTCTGCAGATAAACAGGTTTTCCATTATCCTTTATTGATTGAGTCGTAAATTAACTATTTGTCTGAGCTATATCACACATAAGCATTTATTCAAACATTTATTATTGCTTAATATTTATTTCACTACACTGATTTAAATAAAACATTACTTTCTAGCAGAAATCCTAAGCTTATGTATCTATAGTTGGCTTTTTGCGACCTCTAGTGGCTAAGCGTAAACTTTGCTGTCTTTCCATGCTCATTTTAAAACACGCATGCATCGTTTCTATCAAAAATTATGAATAATCCTCTTGCTCTACAACAAATTTCCTGTGACTTTGAGAAAGCTGCATGTTCTCCCCGTGCCACTGCAAAGCTGTAAAGATGTGGTTGTTTGTTTCCTTCAATTCTTTCTTTTTTTGCCCTGTTTCCTTCAATTCTTTCTTTTTTTGCCCTCTTCCACTACATCTTTGCGGAAATGACTGTCTTGTGTTAGACATTTGCACCAGGTGCCATAGAAAAATGTCCCAGATTTTTATTTTATTTTATTTATTTATTTATCTACAACCTCTCAGCACTGCTGAATGGGAATATCAAGGTAATTACAAAATTCTGCTTAAAATCCTTTATTTACTTTTCTTTCAGAAGACTTATCTTCTACATTTGTACTGGAAGGAGCATTAAGGCACAGCTATGTTTCCTGGACTCTGTTAATTTTTGTTTTTAACAAAAGTTCAGTTTGAGGGATGCCCTTCATGCCATATCCTAATATCCATTTACCATGACCTCTCCTTTCACATCATGGGACAAGGAAGAAAAACTAGAAGTGCATCACCCACCAATATGGAAAGCAATATGTGATCCAGCTACACAAAAATGAGCATGGAGATTAGTGAGAGGCACACACGCATCTTTCCACCCCACAGCCACTCATGCTGTAGCTCCGCTAATTTGTCTTAAGAGTTTCCTTCCTGGTTTTAGGGAACTCAGTGTGTTTGACTTTTCAATAAGGGTCTCATGAATACAGTTGCATCCACTGGCCATGCTTGTTAAGTAAACTTACGACACACTCTAGGGGATCTCCAGTCTACAGAAACTCCATGCTGGCAGCACTGATGGGCATATGCTGACACACTTGTACAGAAACACTCACAGTCACCTCCTTGGTTACAACCGCATGTATCTGTCAAGCAGTTTGAGTAAAACCAGGTGACATCAATCTGGAAATATAAATATTACTAATTAAAACTATTCATACAGACACTGGCAACAATCAGCACAAAGCCACAATTCCTTCAAAATTTAACACATAAGACTTCTATTAAAGATTTTAACTTACACGTCTTCTTGAAATACAAGAAAAACAGTGTATTAGAACATATCATAAAATCTTGTACAGTACTCAGTAATAATTAAATCAATGACCCACTACAAACATGCAGGCTGAGATGTTAATATGAGCTCATTTTGCATGCCTTTAAACCATAATAAACTATATAGAAGCTTATTAAATAAGAGAAACTCTTTCTAAACTGACCACAAATAAATATATCCCAGGAGTGTTAATAACGCTAGATACATGTAAAATGTAAGAACTAATAAAATAGATGGAAAACTTTTCCCATGAGAGTGGTTCATTCTCTTCATGTAATTAAGCAATTTTATGGGACAGCTTGTGATTTTCCCCTCAGATTACTCTGAAGTCTTGTCTTAGGGGACAAAATTTCAAAGAAATCTGTCAATGTTAATTTGCATTCTACATGGATTTACACTTAAATATTTACAGTCATAAGGAACACAACTGATACCTTTTACAGTGAACTAAAACCAATGTTTCATTAATACAACTTTAACATTGCCTTCCCTTTTCCTCCAAAATAATATTATACAAAACAACCCTGCAAGATTCCGTGTTGTCTTTCATGAAGAATCTCCTTTCTCCCTAGGAACCCTTCCGACACTTACAGTTTCTACACTATGTACACAGTTTCAACACCAGAACATCTTGGGATACGTCACTCTCCATATAACACCTAGCCCTGGAAATCAGCTCTCCCCATTCTTGAACTGAGCCTGAGCCTGATGACTGAACAAGTTGCACGGTTCATTTTACTTAGGTGGTTGCCTGAGTGAGGAAATGTATGCAGTTTTTTTCTAGGAATGAGTTTTTCACCTATAAGACTGCCTAGAATAAGCTATAAATTTATTTAAACATGCCTGAAAAATGTGCATGTTATGTAATGCATCTGAGCAAACGAAAGCGAGTTGTTACAATTCTGTAAATTTTTGTGCTTAGAATGAAAAACAAAAGGTAATACAAATTGGGTATAATCTTGTCTCCACTCATTGTAAAGGTGACTAATAGCACTAACCACATTGTAAAAAGGCTAAAACAGTGCCAGTGGTATTATATGGCATATATAATGTCAACAAATGGCTCATATAATGTACAACAAATGGCTTACTGTCTAAGTTAGCTAAGTGCAGATAGTCTTTGTGACAGGCCCAGTTAAACACTCCCATTTTAGAATCAGAATAAGTATGGATTAGGCTTTCTTCATGTCCTCTTTTGCTACAGTAGTAAAAATTACTCTGTTATGGAAGACATGAGCTGAAGAGTAGTTATCTCTAGCGAGATGTTCACTTGCACATCTTTCTACATGTGACCCCAACTCACCACTGGATGGCAAGCTTCAAATGCTTCACTTAACAGGATTCCACATTCCTTCTTGGCAAAAGGCTCTCTAAGTGGATTCAAACTGCATGGATTTCGAATGTCAGAGCTGTCAACACACTTAACAAGAAAGCAAAATGAAGGGGAGAAACTTGTTTCATTAGAACGTTTGAACTTACAAAATATAGTTTTGTTTTGTGCGTTTTTTGGTTTTGTTTTTTTTTTTTATTTTATTTTAAGAAATGTAAAGCACAAAAAATGCATCATTTGAGAAACTTAAGAGAGAATAAGATATGGAATTTAAAGGGTATGCTAATCAGCAGAAATGAAAAACACATAGTTTCATTTGTCTGACAGCAGCAGGAAAACATATACACACATATAGCTCTAAAAAGGGTTGCCACAAAGTCTGAATCTGTAGTCTTTACTTACCTGAGCAGTCAGTTTAAATAGCAAAGATCATTTAAATAGCTTTCATTAGAATGGTCAGAAATCAGGTCTTTTTACGCTAGCTACTATGAATTTATTTTGCAAGACATTTTAAGTAACAACTTCAGAATTTATGTGCATTTCACAACATACTGCTTCACTATTCAAACATCAATATTCATTATTTATATAAAACATACATTTATATAGATAATGGATTTCAAACTATATTTGCAGATCTGTTACTTAACTAATGGTTACATTGAATAACTGTGGAACTGTTCATTTTATGTTTTCTCTAAAACACTCTGTGTAGAAACAAAGGCAATTACTTTGTTATGCTTAATGGATTATGACATCTCTAAGAACCATATATATACTGTCTTTTGCATTGCTGCCTAATTGAGACTTCGGTGAATGCATGTCTTAATTTATTCTAGATATACTGGATGATGTAACAACAACATATATAGATCTACTATCAAATACATTATTTTTCCAAGTACCTCTACAGCTGTCCAACTGTTTCCAAATTCTTGCGAGTTTGTTAGTTCAAAATTATCTGGAGTCCTCAATTCATTTATTGTTTTCAAATCAAAATTTCCACATAATCCAGTCAACTCACCCTGAAACAACAAATAACAAACATAACATATTTCTTTCTACAAGATATAAAACACTTCCAATCACAACTGCTTTCAAAAGTTGCTTCATACATGTCCGTCTTCTGTTGTTTCATTATAAATTTGTCAGGATTCAATCCTTTTCAGCTAATTTCCCCCAAAAAAGTCCAGCTGTTTGGGATAATAAAGTTGTGAAAGATACTTTATTTTGACAACATCAGTATTATTCCCTTTAAATTGTGTATCTCTAAGCCTTTGAGAAGAGAGCTGATCTTTTGTTCAGAGAAGTGACCTGCTTGCTAGCAATTTTTTTTTTTTTTTTTTATTTTACATTTCAGCAAAATTGCACCTGCTCCAGTCAGGCAGGGAATGAGTAATGTAGGAGAATGTTGCCCTGGGAGGTTTATTTCTGCTGTTAAAGAAGTTAGACAGTAAACAGTGAATAGGGGGGGGGAAAGAGATTGTAAATGAGAATGATTAATTTAATTGACAAGGTAGTTAAATACCTCTCTTCTTGACACTGCTATTGAGGTCCTACAGGCTTCATGATATATTGTCTGTTTTCTGAACAATGATGACATACATTTACTTAATAAGACTTACACGAAGATTTCAAAGAAATGTCATTAAGAGTGTTGACTTTCACTTACCTGCCACTGATGACCCATCTGTACATGAACTGTTGTTCTCTGATCCCAAAGAACAGTGATGTGCTCATCAGGAAAATGAACAACAGTGAAAAACCCAGCTTTCCATAACTGTATTTTTTGTAATTTGTCCATGTAACTAGATGAGCTCTATTCAAAATAAAACAAGATAGCTTATAATGTAAATAATGTATCCACAAAATGTTCACTTGATAGGAACATGTAAGTAAAGCGAATGACACAAATGGTTCTTAGACAGAAGTCCCAAAACTGAAAAAAGACCACAGAGGAATCAATGTTTAACCGAAAACGGTCTGGATTCTTCCTGTGAACAGTGTTGGATTTTTATGAATTTATTATTTTAAAAGTTGATTTTATATCAAATTTACAGTATGAGTAATGACAATTAAGATAAAACTGTTAATGGTTCATCATGGAGGTATAAAATTCACTTAGGTATACAGCATTGCATTCAGAAGGTCTTAGCCAGCTGCTTTTTTGAATATGTGTAAGTGTGCACGGAGCATCCTCTTGAAATAAGTGATTGTCTAAATATGTACAAAGACTGCCATCTTCCTTACATAAAGCATTTTTACCTGCATACAATATCATACAGATGCCAAATTATTTGTAGCACAGACTAAGATGTCTGTTTTTAATTACAAAATACCTCACACAATGACACAACACTTTCTCTGTTTGTAAACTAACAATAGTATTACTTATACTGAAATTACTATAACTACTAAATATTGCAGTGACAGAGTTTGCAGTTTGGCCATAACAAAAATGAAATTTTTGTTTTGGAGCATATACCAGAAACTGCAATTTAATTTTTTGCAGAAGTATAAGAATATTCCTTCTATACAACTATACTCCAGAATTAATTAAAATCTTAGTTCTAGTGGAATTAATAGCAAGACACCCACTGACATCAAAATATCTGTATTTTTCCATAGACACATCAAGGCTAAACAGAAGAATTATAATTGTCTAACATTTTCATGAAATATAGCCAAGACTTTGTTTAAGATTTTCATTCAACAATACAGGTTTGATCAGCATTCACTGTGAAAATATTTACACCTCGGCTACATAACTGACACAGTTTTGTTTGTTTGTTTGTTTGTTTTTGCCAACAAGAAAGAAAAAAATACTCAGAGAGAGACATACTCTGCCCTTTAGCAGTATTAAAGGCTGACACTTACTGGATTCCCGGTTTCATCATCAAATATTAGAGAAGATTTTCCAACATTAATGAAAATATGTTTTCTGCAAATAATTCCAGTATTAAAGCAGTTAATATTCTCTATAATAACTGAGAAACTGGTTGAAGAAGTACCCTGCAAAGAAAAAAAAAAAGGTACTTTTAAATATACTAATATAATGATATATATTGTTACATAATTGAAATCAGTAGAAACCTCTGTACATTATTATGTGATGTATGACTTAAAGTCTAAGTAACACCAAAGCTTAAATACATGTAGTACTCAGTATAATGTACAAACAGGACACAAGTACAAGGGTAGTTTTTAACAGGTAGTTTTTTAATCCAGTTTTACATAGGCTTAAAAAAAAAAAAAAAAAAAAAAAGTCTCACCTTTACTAGATAAACCTTACAAGCTCCAACAAAGTCAAATGTAAGTCCATCAAATGTTCTGTAATGTCGATCACCATATGCAGTACACATGGAAGGGCAAGGATGGAAGGTGCATTGGAATGATCCATGCTGGCAAATGCTGCAAAATGTATGACCAACAGTGGTAATATCAGCCATAACCACAGACAAATGATTATACCTACTGCATTAAGCAGCAGAACTACTACGGACATGTAAGTATGAGGACTATGGACTGAACCATTATGAAACTTTAACTAGAAGCAGCATAAATAAATCAGTTCCCTAATTTTTATTTATCACGTATTGAACACACATAGCCTGTGTTCCTTCCTGTTGGACTTCATAGGTTCCAGAACATACACACATTGAAAGGGCATTTCTTCTGTTGTAACAAGAAAAGAAAATGCCACCCAAGGTAACACAACTTATTCCTCAGTTACTCATACCAGCAATGGGCTACAAGGATAAAGCTATCTCTATCAGGTTCTCACAGTACATTTGTTTCTATACTAGCTGATTCTTAAATCCAACAAGCAATGTATCCTACTACTACCATGCTTATTCACTCTATGATTGAATGGGAATTTTGCATAAGTAAAGAACGAAGAAAAAAAAAAAAAACAATACTGCTATTCTGTTAGGTTCCTTGAAAGAACTGTTTTTTGTTGCTGTTGTTTTGTTTGTTTTGTTTTGTTTTCCTGATACATTGGTATTGTCACAACCAAACCTTAGCCTAAGAATAGTTCAGTCAGGTTCTGCCTATGGCTACTTTAAGTATTAATATGCTTTCACCACACATACAGTAAGTGACTTTTAGGACCTTTCTGAATTACGTTTGCTTTGTAACTACCTAACAGCAAGGCTTTGCAGCACTGAATACTGTGTATTCCTGTGCATCAACCCATTGGCATCTGAGTTAACATTTCCAGAAATGTCATATTTACAAATAATGGATAAAATTTCATTTCCAGTTTCCACAAGCAATTTTTTTAAATGTTATTTTTTAAAAATCACTTGTACACAAAAAAAAAGTCCCTTGATAAAGGCAGCAAAGTTGGGGCCCTGGTAACTTTATTACAGCTATAACAAGATGTATGTTATAAATATAGGTTAAACTAAATGGAGAACATGATATAATTTCAGCACATACCTAAGTTTATTTTCAAAATATTAAATGATGAATTACCTGATTAAATGAATGTTTCATATTTTACAACTAACGTATGAACCTGACTTACAGAAATATTGGATAAATCACTGATGTTTGACATCTCATACTAAAGCACCAATAAAATTTTAAGTTTCATATCCGTATAACTTTCTTTTCAGCTCATATTGCTATGAGATCTGACAGGTTTAGAACACCATTGTTTGTATAAGGACACCAGCAATCAAGCAAATAAAGGCATCCAGTTCCCTGCAGCACCATGCTTCCTTCTGCTCCTTTACCACATAACTTGTACCAGCTTAAGTAATTTTCCAGGTTTTCCAACACTCCACTTGGAAGCAAGCTTATGTTTCATATATCTATATACCTACATGAAGTATTTGGTTAAATTCAGTTAAAAGTACTACATGTTAAAAGTGTTTGCCATAACAAAGCACAAGTAGAGTGCAGTGGGACTCACCCAGCCAACTCCAATCATCTTAAAGCACTGCCTAAGGCAGGCACCCAAGCTGATGGAGAGAGAAAGGCAAACGAAGGAAAGTACACATGGATGGAAAGAGTAACTGCAGCTTCTCATGCTCTCTGTGAAACATTCGGTTTCAGTTATACTCTGGAGAAGAAACATTTCTTAACATGCGAAGAGTAGGAAACTCCTTTGCAAGTATTCTCTTTCAGGAAACCTAATATATTTACAGTCCTAAGGAAGGGCTTAAGAATATACTAGGTCTTCCATGTCCTCTGCTCCAGTCTTTTTGCATATTAAGTAAACTAACATTTCATTATCAGAACCTAGAGAGTCCCATTTGGAAAAGTAGAACTACTAGCTGCTTTCAGACTTTGACTATCCTTTTTTAATATGTATTTTTAAGAAGTATTTGTTTAAGAACACGGAATTGAGCAACCTATAGAGACTAAACAAGCACAGCTACTGCAACATCTGTCTCACCTGGCACAACACAGCACCAAAATGCTACTCTAGTATGTTCAGTTGGTACCACAACAATTTCTGTTTAATCTCAGAATCATAGAATGACAGGTTGGAAGTGACCTTCAAGGTCATTTATAATTCTAACCCCATCTTCCACTGAACCAGGTTTCTGAAAGCCCCATCCAACCTGGTCTTAAACACCTCCAGGGATGGGGCATCCACAGCTTCTCTGGGCTGCCTGCAACAGTGCCTCACCACTCTCTGAATGAAAAAAATTCTTCCTTATATCTAATCTAAGCATACCCTCTTTTATAAGGTCTCCCCAGAGCCTTCTATTCTCCAGGCTGAACTCTTGTCAGCCTATTTTCACAGGAGAGGTGCCCCAGCCCTCTGATCACCCTGTTGGCTTTCCTCTAGACTCACTCCAACAGCTCCATGTCTTTATCAATTTGAGAGCCCCAGAGCTGAACGCAGTATTCAACATGAGGTCTCACAAGAGACAAGCAGAGGGTGATGATCACCTTCCTTGGCCTGCTGGCCACAATTCTTTCAATGCAGCCCAGGGTATGTACGGTTGGCATCCTGGGCTGCAAGAACACATTGCTAGAACACATCAAGTCATTGCAACTCTTGGAGTGCAACCATCCAGCCTATTCTTTATCCACCGAGTGGTCCACCCATCCAATCCCAATGTCTCTCCAATTTAGAGACAAGGATGTCATATGGGAAAGCAGCAAAAGCTTTGCACAAGTCCACATAGGTGACATCAGTTGTTCTTCCCTTACACACCAGTGCTGTAGCCCCAAATCATAGAAAGCCAACAAAAATGTCCAGCACAATTTGCCCTTAGTAAAGTCATGTTGTCTGTCACCAATCACTTCTTTGTTTTCCATGTCCCTTAGCATAGTTTCCAGGAGGATCTGTTCCATGATCTTGCCAGGCACAGAGGTCAAACTGACTGGCCTGTAGTTTCCTGGGTTTTCCTTTTTTGACTTCCTAAAAATGGGATTTTTATGTCCCCTTTTGTAGTCAGTGGGAACTTCACTGGACTGACAGAACTTCTCAAGTATGATGTTTAGTAGCTTAGCAAATTCATCCTCCAATTCCCTCAGGACCCTTGGATATACCTCATCAGGTCCCATGGATTTATGCACGTTCGGGTTCCTTAGATGTTCTCAAACCTGATAAACTGTTTAATCTAGCCAGTATATGTTCTGGCTGTTGCACTGAAAACCAAATTAATCCACCTCAAAAACTGGGAAACACAGAACTGCAGTTCAGCCATACTCCTGTGATAGATTCAAAAGTCCCTGGGATTCCATTAGTACTTTTTCAATATAAGAAATTACTTAATTTGTCATTTTACTGTTGGACAAGTCAGATTAATAGTTACGTTGCCCATACTAAATGAGATATGAATGATAATTAACACTATTTCCGTGCATTAAATAGCATTATTGTCATTGTAATTGTTATGACTGTTTAAATGGTCTTGCTGAGTGTTCTCATGCTTTGCACAAGCAAAAATGCACTTTTCCTTTGACATATCAAATATACTCAAGCATGCATACACAGCAGTCTCAAAGACCTTTGCACTTTGCATCAAATGTGTCACTTCTGTAGAAAGCAGAGCTGGTTGCAGACTCCGTGTCAGTGGACAAATGATTGCCAAAAAGTCATTATCACTTCACTTGTCTTTGCTTCTTGGAGGTGGAAGACTTGAAAAGCCATGAGGATTATACAGAATTAATGGGCCTGGCCTCAGAAAAAAATACAGAAGGCTTAATATCCAGTCTTTTCACCTGCACTGCTGCTGCCTTTGGTGAACTCTCGTACAGATTAAATGGAATATAATAGTTCTTTCTGATGCAAGCAATCACACACCAGGTCCAATTGGAGAGGCCTTTGGAAATAAGGGGGTGAATAACCCGGGTCGCTTTACCTGCCTGCCCAGTGGAGATGGCTTGTAAGTCGCTTCACCAGTCGACCAAAGGACTACAAATATCTTCTAGAGCAGATACTGAGGACCTGACGAGAGGCAGAGGTAGGCAGTCAGCACAAGGCTGGAGGGGGCAACGATATCCAGACAAGGCAGTGTCTAGCGCTGACTGGACAAGCCTTCACTGTGCGAGGCTATAGTGAGCTGCACAGGCCAGGCGCAATAGTTTACCAGGTGAGACCAGTTAAATGTTCCTGGTAAGCTAAAAGAAGGGAACAAAAGGAAGAAACTGCTCTGCTGATAAGCTGAAGGCTACAGCACTACTACATGATCTTGATACTTGACAGTATAGCTGATTTTTCTGAGGCTCTAAACAAACACTTAGTGCCAAGTTGAAGCATTCAACAGTAGACAAAGAGAACAGGTGGCTCCATCAGGAAACAAGTTTGTATCAGGATTATGCAGATGTGGTATGTTTTCACATCTTAGCTTTAGTGAAACTTATTGAAATGCTGTACCATGTTCTACTGAGAGCACTCAAGGATACTGCGAAGTAACATAGCTACAGAGAATGAGCTATATTTACGACACTGGACAGTGAAAGGATCAGGTCTCTGCATATCACTGAGTGGTCCTATCAACCAAAGTCTAGTGGAACACTTCCTTTTAATGCCAATTCATTCATCAGTTATATTACCCACACGCAAAGCCAAACAATATATGTTACTATGCTCAGAAAATGGAATTGCTCAATACTGTCCTGAACTCATCATTGTAGCAGTCCACACGCTTATGTTTTGGGCTCTCAGACTGCTTAGATTCTATAATAAATGTTAAAATGCAGAAGAAGGAAGTTTTGATTTAACAAATGTCACTTGGGTGTAATATTTGAAGAATTTTTCCTGTACTCTAGGAACATTGGCCAAGGAATATTCATTTTGACTATCTTGAAAGAATGACAATCAAAACAGTGATTTTTCTAAATCACGCTTTTCCCAAATTGAAAATTGCCATTTTTTTTTCCAACTTTCCATCCCCAAACAACATATTGTTTTGTTTTTAATGTAAAAGTTTCCTCAAACAACAAACCCTAAAAAAAGTCAATTTAATAGTTCTTTGAATGAGCAGAAATACAAAATTAGGGTGGATCATTTATTAGAATCTAGTATGAAACGATTACAAAACATGAAGGTAAAAAATAGAGCAATAATCAAGTCAGAGCTAAATAACTAAAATGAAATAAACACATAACTAGATCTGCACTTACCATGTATGACACGAAGAAATCACTTTGTCACCTGGAAAGTATTCCTTTCCTTTCCATGAACATGGACATTCATCTGCTTCCAAGCACACATCCCCATGCTTAACAAGACTAGTAATAATAACAAAAAAAGATATACATTCAATAGAAGTAAACCTGGTATCTACATGCAGAAGTATTTTCCTAAACTTTACAATAATTTTACAATTATAATTGAGAAATAAGCCATTTAAAATCTGATATTGAAAAGGCACGATTTTATTAATATTTATATACGTGTAATTTGGTAATTTTCTTTCACAGGTATCTGCATATTGTATCTTTAGTAACTACTAGCACTTGGGACATCCAACCCTTCAACCAGCAATCTAAGTTTTTCCAGATCTCCTCCAAGCTTTTCCAGATTTCTTTTAACTTAGTTAACTTAACTATTAAGGGTTCAAGGGCAGGTTGGATAGGTGTCCCTGCCACGGCAGGGGCCTTGGAACTAGATGAACTTTAAAGGTCCCTTCCAACTCAAACTATTCCATGCTGCTATGGTTCTAACTGAAGCAGAGTTTCCAAGAGATGCAAGAGTCATCACAGGCTTTGCTCTAGTGGTACAAGCCCAACAAAAATCGGCAAATTATTTATTCTAAGAATCTGTGTTAACTAAATGCATATTAATTAATTAAATGCATGTTTCTTATTCCTTACTAGAATTAGAGAGCTTCCATTTGCTGCATGGTTTTACTATATCCATTGGCAACCTCTTGCTTCGTGAATAATCTAATAACTATCAAAAGAGTTTTCCCAGATGCATGAAATGAATTAAGTACATATTACTGTATGAACAGCAGCTTACCTTCAAGCAAGAAATCATGAATATACTTAGTTTTATTAACACAAACATTCCCACAGACTTCAAAGGAAATTTTCATGATAACACAGAGAACCATATGCATAGCTATTTGCAATTCAAGACAAAAAAAGAAAATGCAGTTCAAGCTATACACCTGTGTTCATAATTACATCTCCTAAGGCACCAGATAAAAGCTGAAATTAAAAAAAAAAAAATGTGGAAAACAATTCCATTAGCAGAGAAAGAATAGAGGAATTTTTGTCCAGCAAGACAACATAAAGCAACTAGTCTAAATTTTAAAGTAAAATATTTTTTGCTTTTAATGATACACAGTGAAATTGAAATATCAGAGTTTGATAATTCACAGATCTCATACAGATTCTACAAATAAATCTCAGGAAATATGCAAGAAATACTGAATGTTTTTATTTAAAAAGCTTTTTTTTTTTTTTTTTTTTTTTTTTTTTCCCACTGAGCCTAACAACACAGTTGTATTTCTTCCAAAGCTTGATTCATTTCTCTAAAATATTTTAATGCTATTTGTTAGGCAAGCAGATATCAGGATCAGGTACAATAACTGACAGAACATCTTTGATGACAAATTTATCTGCCAAACGAAAACTGTGACTTTTGCGAATGTGAACTCTTACAAGTTTACAGCAGTGACTTCAACTTCTGTAGCTCCAACTTATTTTGTGTTCTGTATTTGTTCCTGCACAGAATCCTGTTTGATACAACATAAAAAGCTGCAGAAAGTTGCTATGTACCATGCTAATTACATAGTAAAAGGATTTCTTAAAGGTGACATACAATCTAAAATTATCCTTGCATTTAAATGGCATGTTTTGAAATGTATTTCTATTAGAAAAAAAAAATCTCTTAAAGTGTTGCGATTAGATTGATAATCTTTTTTTCTTTTTCAAGCCATATTCATTTGGAATTACAGTACCTCTCAGGAATAATATAAACTCTATGCGAAGTCTCCTGTGTTCCTACAGTTTCCTGAAGAAAACAAATTAGACCTCTCTGACACTTAGCACTGCAGTTTGGGCAAGACACTCCACCACGGACAACAGATCAGAGGTGCAAGGCAGATCTTTGACAACCAGAGCGATGACGCTGTTTCATTTCCATGGTATGCAAAAGGAAAGATCTAAATTTGCATTCAACGCAGAACTTTTTATTTACTCATATTAATGAATTTCTGCTTTGTGAACTATGATTTAGATGTTTCTTCAGTGTTTTATTTATATCTGATGGAAACTTAAAACTCCATAGCTCTTCTTAATAGGAACAAACATCATCAAGAAAATAAAACTACATTCAACTTAAAAACTTATCCTCCTAGATACGTGAAGTGTTTCTTGTAATCCATGTTTATTTCAACTACTGTGCCACTTGAAGACAATCAACTGGGAGACTGAAATTCCCACTGGTTTGAAGGTCAGAACTGAAGAGAGCACATTCAGACACAAAGAGCATCACACTGACAAGGAAACATTAAATACAGTATCTTCTTCTGGGTGGTTAAAACAGGTGATAACAGCTTTCTCTCTTGTGAAGCCAAGCAAGTGGATAGATTTCAATGATCTAAGAATTCACCACAATTAAATGGCAGGCCTCACATTGTTCTACTTTGAAGTATCAGACATTTTTCTTAACACACTTTACTGTCCAACTTGCAGTGCACTGCAAAGATACAAGGACAACTATCCTATTGCACCATCCTTAACCAATATTCAGTTTCATTACTATTTCAGTATTGTCTGTAGTTTTTCTCATCCACATACACACAAATATTTAAATACTCTCAGTAAAAGCATCATTAGAAGCAACATGCCTCAATGGCAATGAACAAAAATCTCTTTGCTTCTGCAAAGCCCGCAGATTTGGGCCAGAATTTTAAATAAATAAATAATAATAATACAAATAATAATAACGAAGTAACTCTTCAACAGCCCCTGCCAGAACAGTTTTTAACAGGTTGTGCATCACACAGTTCTTTACACCCTTGGGCAATAGCATACTGCCAACTGATTTATGCAGCCAATGAGCACTTTTGCCCCATCAACAAATCTGCTCTCAGAGGGTTCCACAAATCATCCTACAAAGGTCAGTAATACTATACAGGATAAAAAGAATGAAATAAGCAGCAGGACATTTCTAATACCAGAAAGCCACCCCCACACGACTTCCCTAACAAGAAAACTGGATAAACAAACAACAACAAAAGCAGATGTTGAGTGTTTTCTTAATTGTTTGGGGGGGGGGAAGGGGGTACTTAAAGTATACCAATTCTTATATTTTATTTTTAAATAAAGAAATATTGAGTAAATTCACCAAGCACCAGACATTTCACAGAATGCTTAAGCATTTTTATCATACCCTTGCTTCAGCTAAGATGGTCAGATTCCTGCACTTCTGCAGTAGGACCCTTGCATGCAGCTTCACCAGCAGCAATACTGGTGCTAAGCAGAGGGGGGCATAAAAAGAAATTAAAAGAAACAGGAGTGACAGCTTAAAGACAGAAGGTAGGTGAGAACAAGAACATGAGAGAGAATGACCAAGATTCATCTAGACTTCCGTATTTTGCAACCTCTTTTTTGCAGAACCTCCCCCCCTCCCCTTCAGCTCTTTCTAGAGGCTTCTGAATATTTGGCTCACCCAGTTGCCTGCGTCTACTCTGAAAAATCCCTCAAGCAAAACATAGGTCCTGCCTCCCTTTGCCTTCTACTGATAACTGTGGATAGAGGAGGGCAAAATTAGCTCACAAGTCACCAGTGTAATACTCTCAGAACCATAAAAATTGGGTACTGCTTTTGGAAAGAATGCTATAACTTCAGAGCATGGCAAGAAAGGGATTTGGTATCAACATCTCTCTTTCTAACTAGAAAAATATTACAGGCATTAAGCAGGGTGACTGAAAGAATGAGGGCAGGAACACTTCTATCGGCACTGATTTTTCTTTTTTTTAAGCTTGAGTTGTGGAGAAAGAATACAAGAAGAGGGCAGAAAGCGAAGACCATCAGAGAAAACAGAGGGTTCAAAGCAGGCATCTCCCCTGACCCACTCACAGTTTCTGCAGTGTGATAAGGTGGGACTCATCTCAGAGATCACTGCAGGAGAAAGCAGTTAGACACCGTCTTTTTCAAGTAAAGCATATCCCAAGGAAAGACTGAAAGAAAGGAAGCATACTGGTTGTCCCAGCATATTTCACAGGTAAGTTAGCCATGGACTGTGATTGTTGTGATGTCTGATACCTTTCTACATCATTTCAGCTGTACCTCATCTCTACCAACATTACTTCAGGGCTATGTCCCTTTTTTTTTTTTTTTTTTTTTTTCCCAAGTATCTAGAAAACTATAGGTGCAATTCAGTGCTAAATATCATGTAAGACAGGACTCAGGTGAAAGGCGCAATTTTTATATACATACATATGTATATATATATATGGGAATGACTAAATTAATAATATTAGCTGTCCTTGATCTGCCATCACTGGCTGAAGTTTCTTTAGACACACATCGCTTCTGATAAGAAGTATACTCTTCTACAGGATGAAGATTTTATTTATTTTTTAAATATATACTTTTTGAATATAAATCTGTATTTGAAGATATGTGTCAAAGTATATTCCTGGTTTCTGAGTTCTTAATCTGTATCAAAAAACATGTTAAGTGCCCGAAGACAGCTGAACAGTTTTCAACATGGAAGAGCTGATGGCTCGGTGGATTTAGCTATCTTTCCCAGTAAATACTATCATCAGCTTTTTAAGAGTCAGATCAAGTATCTCCCTGAATGGTACTGGAACTTAAAAATAAAGCAAAACAAAAAGACAAAGATGGCTTTACTGATTCATGATCTTCTCTTCCTCTCAATGAAACAAATAAGAACAGAAATACTCCACTACTGTTTTAATGGTATTTTACTATGCAATTTTTCTGATGTAATGAACAAGTTGAAATAGATAATGCATTTTTGGTAATAAAAGGAATTCAGAAACTTCATGTGTAACAGAAATCTTCCTTTCAAAGCAGATGACAAAGTTCAATGAGTGCCTCCTTAAATACATGTGAAAAAAACAAAGGCTATATGAAAAGGTACTCAAGAATTTGAATGATACCAGTGAAGAAGTTCTACTGTCAACTAATTAAAAATACAGTGAGAAAAAAATATTTATTTGCAGCTAATGAACTAGAAAGTGGCAGGACCAAGAGGGTTTTGGAAACATTGCAAGAGGAAAAACAGCACAACAAAATAGATTAAGGAA